CATGGCATGGAATAGCCCTTCCTCACTGGAAAAAAGCATGGCAAATTTTACCAGAAATATGGTAAAATCCAACATGATTCTACTTGATTTTTGACATGGTGAAACTATATGGAGTGAAGATAACCATACGTCTGATAGCTTTGTCTATCAATTTCAATGATCAGCCCGCTGGCGTCATGAATGGATGACCCTCATTAAGAATAAAATAGCTATTCCGGCGACCTGCGAAAGATCCACTACGAGTGCGCATGCAATTTGTCGCGTTATCGCATCACACGTTATAACCGGACGTTAACTGATGCAGTTTTTGACTAACGATTATGAATACACTCCTCAGACAAAGAAATTAAGTTTCAAAGTTGATGTTTCCGATCCTCTTCGCTCCTCTTGAGTACGGGCGAGGCAGATGAAACTCTGATAAAAAGGGAGATCGCTGGAGTAGGTAAAAGTGAAATATGAGAAGAAATATCATAAACTGAAAACCTAATGGCGGAGAATAAAAATTTGATGGCTCAAACGCGCAAAACCCTCGAATGATCTTGGAATCCCACGCTTGAGGTCATTAATTCTATCATTTTATTGATAGGGTGAGATTGGGAAGCAAATCGATGAGACTGAGAAAAAAACTGAGGGAGAAAATGAGGAGGGTGGGTCGTAACCCTTTGTGCCTAAAATTGAATTCTATACCATGAATTGATATAATTGTACGACAAAAATGTGAAACGAGAATTAGATAAAAAATAGAGAATCATTACCATCTGGAAAAAATCCCCTTTGGAGAATAATAAATACGTTACTGGCAGTGGCACAGCGTAGCCAGACATTTTTCATGGGGGTGGTCTTCGGTTAAAAATGTCTCATGGAGATCAAAAGGTGGGAATTCCTGAAAATCATGGAAAATGACGTTTGGAGGACAACTTATCCATATCATGGGTGGGGGGAAGGCTTTTAAAACTCCAGGACCTCTCCACCTCTGATTTTGCAATCTTAATTCTTCATCCGACCTTCTTTGAAGTTTTCCCAAGGACAAATATATTTCGATAGTGGATTATAATTTTGATACGTGTTCGGTAAAAACACCAAATTGAACAGAACGACGATTTAAGCAGAGGCGTGGCGCGCTGTGTGATTTTTCGATAGATCTACCATTTAAACCTATGAAAAAGGATCGGTGAACAGGGTGTTTGCAGCAAACACCTTAATGATCGATTCTTTACCATAGCTTCCAATAAGGAATTATCAATAATCGATCATTCACGCCTTCGCCACTGGATTTAAGATGAACTCAGATGGTTACTGATACACATTAACTTGAACGAAACGAAAAAAGAAAAGTGGACAAGCTTTCGGATATTGAAAAAGTTTGTCCCCCTTTTTTTAAACGATGAGATTTATGTACACTTGGCATCATGTGGTACTCGTGCAAAATCTGGACTAGTCACTGGCTTAGCGCCACGAGCAAGCGAGTCATACTGCCGTGCTAAGGAAGAGCGCCGTATGTACATTCGAGAGTTGCCAAATTTCCCTCGATAAAACATTTATTTTTGACGACATTCATGCATATTTTTCCTCAACATTTTCAGATATTTTAGATTTAATTTAATACAAAATTTTCTGAAAATATTGGAGAATAATATTAAGAATTTTCCCAGTGAATTCGGTTTTTATCGGAGGAAACTTGGCAACACCTGAAGGCTCATACGGCGTTTGTCCATAGCACGGCAGCATAGGTGGTCACACTGAAGCAGAATCATAATGCTAACTCGTAAAAAAATAATCCTGGGCTGATGAACAAACACCTAGAGTGAGGAAAACGATGTTAAAAAGGCGTACGCAGAACAGATATAGCCGGATCACCCGTTGTGCGTACATGGATTCTGGGATTTCGAGGATTGTGGATTATTGGCCCGGAACGTGGTACGCTTACAATAAAATTTTGCATAAAAATGACGGATGGACAGAAGGAATAACTGAATACATCGTCATATTGATGGGCGCATATCAGTATACGCAGGCGCTGTTCTCTTCTAGCGTTCAATATGGGAATATTCCAAACGACCTTACCAAAAACTGGACTGATTTCGAACTTGAACCAACTACACAAGAGTCGCGCTTAATCCGTTGAATAATTGTAATAAATATACGAATAATCGAACTAAAATTTGAGGAGCTCCTCTGAGAAATTCAGTAGTCACTCGAACTTGCTTGCTGTAGCCATGAAATCACAAAACTGAGTCGAAAACTCACGCATTACGGTAAGGTATTTGGTCGAATCTAGGACTACTCGACTATACTATTACTTTTTCTTCATCTTTCTCTTTTCGTCTACTTCACTTCTCCTTTTTTTTTTATCTCCTTCTTATGTCATCGTGTCTACAACGCATGCGCCGACAGGGACTGCCTGACTATTAAAAGGGGGATGAACCACTGGACCACGTGGGAGCGTGTGTTGCATACGCCAAAAATTGAAGGCAAACTGACATGTCATTAAAGTAACCTCTTCTCGTTTGGTAAAAAGCTCTTGAGTGCGAGTGACGAAGTGTGCCTTATCACCTTTATTGGACCACGTGGAAACTCGTGCTGCCTACACTAAAAATTGGAGGCAAACTCTACTCTACTTTACTATGAAGGCATTTGTCTCAATCACCATTACGATGTTACATATCAAAATCCTGCTTTTAAACTAGGGTTTGAAAAATTTTAATTTTGCCAGGCGTTGCTCCTGGAACTATGAAATGATGGAAGTAATGTCCCGTAATTGCCAAAAAAAAATTAAAGAAATCCCGCCAGAAAAAAAAGAAAAAAAAAACCGGAGATTCTTATTGTTTTGTTCTGTGAAGTCGCGTGAAAGATTCTGAATCGCAAAAAATAATACAATCTTGGCCCATCATACAGACACATTTTTCCGAACTTGGACCAAAATATGAGTAAAAGAATAGAATGTGATCCTCATGAGAAAGAGAGAAACATATTGGACGTTCCTTTCTAGGAAACTCGAGGAAAGGTCCGAGTCTCGTATCAGGGTGTCTAGTTTTTCATCATTTTGGGAAATCCTGATTTTGGAGTGCTAAATGCTGATTTCATAATTTTTCCAAATCCTGATTTTTTGCGGAGAAAAATTAATTGGCGGATAGCGGATAATTAACGGGGAAAAAAGCGGACGGCCGATTTTTCTCAAATCCTGATTTTACGACCGATTTTCCCTCAAATCCTGATTGACCTAAAATTCTGATAGAATCGGGAAAATCGGAAAATCCTGATGCTAAACACCCTGGACTTTGGTTTCGGCTACTGATCAAAAAAAATATGTAGGTATACACATCAGATGGCTGCAGACATGTTTTTTGGACGATTTAAGCACTGCATGTNGGGGGGGGGGGGGGTGATCACGCACGTACGTTTACGGTGAAAGCACCGAAGAATAAAAGTTACCGAAAGGCACCTTACTCCGCGTGAAAGACGGAACTAACCGGATGAATTCGGAGGAGCGACAGGATTTCGAGCTCGGGGGACAGCGGCAATAAATCCGTGACGCTGACAGAGCGGTAGACTCGAAAGAATACGACAAACGACCGATTCTTATTTTAAATGCGAAATCAATTACGATTAGAGCAACGGGTTAATTACATCAAAAGACTATGCTGTTAATTGAAATACCCAATCGTGAATAATGGGTCTAGACGAGGACCGATAAATTATCGCTCCTCCGCGCAGCGCGACTTCGACTTGTTTTCCAACTCGAGGAATCGAGGAGCCTTCTTCTCCGTTTTCAGGGCTCCCCGCTCCGTAAACTGATTACGTGTGTACTTATGTACGGAATATCTAACATCACCGAATCTCTCTCTTCCCCCCCCCCCNGCCGATTTTCTTCGATTCAGGAACTTTCTTTCGTTGCCCATACAATTATTCGGACCGCGTTAAGCAGAGAAGAACCAAGCCGCGTCAGCTATTGCCTTCATCTAGGGAATTTACTTTTTTACAGGAGAATGTTTGTGCGGATTCCTTCGAAAAGTTGAAGGAATATTCTTCGTACTATGCAGATAATGGAGATGTTGCATGTGTAAGGAATTTGCGATTTGATTGTTGAATCTTATGTAAAAGTTCGCGAGAAACACGATGGTGCCACTGGTTTTCTCTGAAATTAACTCCCAAGCTCAAAAAAAGCTCTCAAGTTGAGGCCAAAATGGAGGGGATATCCCACCCTACCCTGAGAGTCCACCTCTACATCTCTACTAAATTAATGCACATGTATACGCGTGTAAAGAACGTAATATTTGCTCGTGTATGAAACGATTCTCTGCAAAAATTTTCGTCGTATGATGATAAGTGAATTATTTTTAATCCTCAAAAGAGCATTAATCTCAGAATTGCCGTAGAGATTTGCATTTGCATTTTTCATCGAGTTCAGATTTTTAGAAATGTTGACATTTTAAATATATGAGGAGACCTGGATTTCATTTTGCAATTAGGATCTATCATTTCTGACCCATGTGTAGAAGCTTTTAATTACATGGGGAAACTAAGTTCTGACTTTCAAAACATTGAAAACTTCGAGGCTATTCGTCGTGAACTATCAAAATTTGATCATCGCGGTCGGGCGTTAGATAAAATGCCTAATTTGACCAAGAATATGCCGACACTTTTCATTAGATTATTTGCAGGTAACCGTAATCTTTTGAAAATACATTATTTTCGCGGTGGATGCACGGATCCTTCAGAAACAAGGAAATCAACTACGTAAACCAGCACAAACCACACTAAAACGTGCGTCAAGCGAACGTCTAGGGGGCGACGCGACGCCCCTCTGGTCAGACGGCCGATTTGAATGCCGATTTGATTAATCATTACAATTTTTACAAAATGTTCATCAATCAGAAAAGAAAAAGCAGTCACGGAAACTAGAAACTACGGTAATTTTTTAAAAATAAATAGATAAATACATAAAAGAACAAGCGGTTTCTCTCGAAGGGGGAAAAAAATGACTTGAAGATGATACATACCTTTCTCAGAGGAACTTTGAAAGCTATGATCCTTGTGTTCGGAATCACCTCTCCGTGTGAAGAATAAGAACACCACCTGGGAAGACAAAATATTTCAATTAGACGGATTTATTCGATTTCACTTTTTATGAAACATTTTACTGCAAAATTACAAAGTTTCACAATGACATTGCAACCCTAGCTTTAGCTCACATCTGTGTCAATGAGGCAGTAAATTTTAGCTCCGGCGCCTATTTTGGTGTTAGTTTCAGTACAGAAGTATTTTCACTCCAGTAGACTGCCAGAATTCATTCACTGGCTTCTAACTGATTGTTGGAAGATCCAATCTAAGATGGCAACTCAAAGATAGTGGATTACTTTCAAAGGACTGATTCTTTACCATCGTAATTTAAAAACTGGGCAGGTTAGTTCCAAAAGATGCTCTGGCTCTTCAGAACTTGGGTTCAAAATTTCTTACATGGAAACTCCTCACCAAGACGGAAAATGGGACCATTCATTCGATTGCATTTTACTCCATTCTGTACTATTATATTCATTTAAAATGCGATTAAAAAATGGGTAACATAATTATTGCAACGCTGCAAAATCTCGGACCATGCTAAAACTCTTTTTTTTTATCATAAATAAGAAAAGGGAAAAGAAGTAAGCAACCAAAATATCGCCGCAAGGTCCTCTATTATAGATTGATTTAGAAAAATTTGCGGCAGATGTGGAGAAAAACTTTTTTTTTTTTTTTTTTTTTTTTTTTTTTTTTTTTTTACAAAGTAAATAAATTCAAAAAAACGAGACATAGGTGTGTAACGGTGCAATTGGTGATAAATCGAGCTTTTAATGCGCGTAGCCATCCATACTGTTAACATACAAGTTTACAGATGGAGGTAACTATTCGACCACGGCTGATGTCCACATTGTCGCTAGCTAGATTGAAGGCGCGTCACTTTACGGCTCGCAAGCGCGGCGCGAATGACGCCTCCAAGAAAGGACCGCATGTACAGGGTGTCTACTATAAATGGCTGGCAAAAATGAAGTCTTTTTAGAGTACTTTTCCAACACCTCCCCAAAAAGTTCAGAACCTCATAAGCAGCAACGATTCTCTTTCGGTACCTTTAAATTGATTGTTGATTTGAGTAATTTTTATGATGTTTTATTTCTTAAAGCTTGTATTTTTTTTTTTTTTTAATTCTTCGGTAAAAATTATTTTTTTATTAAAGACAATTCTAGCTTAAGCACTCTTATACTATGCGTTCAAAACTGCAATAGCGGCAAAGGAAAACCGACAGGTAGAGGCCAGCGTGGAGGCTACTTCAATATTAATCTTCGATCGCATTGCTCAGGCGCAGTGATACATTTCTACGTGCTCTCCGGAATGCGTATGGTATCACGCCACAATTGAAGGCGCTTTTGGAAACGGCAAACTTTCCATACGGGGATTCTCGCGTCGCATAAAATTCGGAGCAAAAGATAAATGGAATGACTGATCTTTGGAGCTAGTGCGACAGTTCCTCAGTGCACACACCTCCTCTTTTTAATTTATTATTTATTAGGAACTTTCTATCTGATTTATGATCAGTGTGTAATTTTCTCGAATGTGTTTCCGTTCCATGATTTACTGGGATTTCTTGTAATTCATTCTTGATTTAAGTTCCTTTTATTTAGTTATATTTTTCACAGCTAATTTTTGTTAGTTCTTCCGTAAAAATTATTAAAAACAATTCTAGCTTAAGCACACTTCAACTATCCGTTCAAAACTGCAATAGCGGAAAAGGAAAACCAACAGCTAGAGGCGAGCATGGAGGCTTCTTCAATATTAATCTTCGATCGAATTGCTCAGGTGCAGTGATACATTTCTACGTGCTCTCCGGAATGCGTAAGGTATCACGCCACAATTGAAGGCGCTTTTGGAAACGGCAAACTTTCCATACGGGGATTCTTCCTTCGCATAAAATTCGGAGCACGAGGTAAATAGAAAAACTGATCTTTGGAGCTAGTGCGACAGTTACTCAGTGCGCAGACCTCCTCTTTTTAATTTATTATTTATTAGGAACTTTCTATCTGATTTATGATCAGTGTGTAAAATTCTCTAATGTGTTTCCGTTCAATTTGAGCTTTTCACTTAAATGACTGACGGGGATTTCTTGTATTTATTCTTGATTTAAGTTCCTTTTATTTAGTTACATTTTTCACAGCTAATTTATTGTTAGTTCTTCCGTAAAAATTATTAAAAACAATTCTAGCTTAGGCACACTTACACTATGCGTTCAAAATTGCAATAGCGGAAAAGGAAAACCAACAGCTAGAGGCGAGCATGGAGGCTTCTTCAATATTAATCTTCAATCGAATTGCTCAGGCGCAGTGATACATTTCTACGTGCTCTCCGGAATGCGTAAGGTATCACGCCACAATTGAAGGCGCTTTTGGAAACGGCAAACTTTCCATACGGGAATTCACGCGTCGCATAAAATTCGGAGCAAAAGATACATGGAATGACTGATCTTTGGAGCTAGTGCGACAGTTACTCAGTGCACACACCTCCTCTTTTTAATTTATTATTTATTAGAACTTTCTATCTTATTAATGATCAGTATGTAATTTTCTCTGATGTGTTTCCGTTCCATGATTTACTGGGATTTCTTGTAATTCATTCTTGATTTAAGTTCCTTTTGTTTAGCTACATTTTTCACAGCTAATTTTTGTTAGTTCTTCCGTAAAAATTATTAAAAACAATTCTAGCTTAGGCACATTTACACTATGCGTTCAAAACTGCAATAGCGGAAAAGGAAAACCAACGGCTAGAGGCCATCATGGAGAATTCTCCAATATTAATCTTCGATCGAATTGCTCAGGTGCAGTGATACATTTCTACGTGCTCTCCGAAATGCGTAAGGTATCACGCCACAATTGAAGGCGCTTTTGGAAACGGCAAACTTTCCATACGGGAAATCTTCCTTCCCATAAAATTCGGAGCACGAGATAAATAGAAAAACTGATCTTTGGAGCTAGTGCGACAGTTACTCAGTGCGCAGACCTCCTCTTTTTAATTTATTATTTATTAGGAACTTTCTATCTGATTTATGATCAGTGTGTAAAATTCTCTAATGTGTTTCCGTTCCATGATTTACTGGGATTTCTTGTAATTCATTCTTGATTCAAGTTCCTTTTATTTAGTTATATTTTTCACAGCTAATTTTTGTTAGTTCTTCCGTAAATTATTAAAAACAATTCTAGCTTAGGCACACTTACACTATGCGTTCAAAACTGCAATAGCGGAAAAGGAAAACCAACGGCTAGAGGCCATCATGGAGGCTACTTCAATATTAATCTTCGATCGAATTGCTCAGGTGCAGTGATACATTTCTACGTGCTCTCCGGAATGCGTAAGGTATCACGCCACAATTGAAGGCGCTTTCCGAAACGGCAAACTTTCCATACGGGGATTCTCGCGTCGCATAAAGTTCGGAGCAAAAGATAAATGGAATGACTGATCTTTGGAGCTAGTGCGATTATTTATCAGGAACTTCCTATCTTATTTATGATCAGTTCGTAATTATCTCGGATGTGATTCCGTTCAATTTGAGCTTTTCATTTAAATGATTTACTGGGATTTCTTGTATTTATTCTTGATTCAAGTTCCTTTTATTTAGTTATATTTTTCACAGCTAATTTTTGTTAGTTCTTCCGTAAATTATTAAAAACAATTCTAGCTTAGGCACACTTACACTATGCGTTCAAAACTGCAATAGCGGAAAAGGAAAACCAACGGCTAGAGGCCATCATGGAGGCTACTTCAATATTAATCTTCGATCGCATTGCTCAGGCGCAGTGATACATTTCTACGTGCTCTCCGGAATGCGTATGGTATCACGCCACAATTGAAGGCGCTTTTGGAAACGGCAAACTTTCCATACGGGGATTCTCGCGTCGCATAAAATTCGGAGCAAAAGATAAATGGAATGACTGATGTTTGGAGCTAGTGCGACAGTTCCTCAGTGCACACACCTCCTCTTTTTAATTTATTATTTATTAGGAACTTTCTATCTGATTTATGATCCTTTCGTAAGTTTCTCGAATGTGTTTCCGTTCAATTGAACCTTTTCACACATGATTTACTGGAATTTCTTGTAATAAATTCTCAATTTAAGTTCCTTTTATTTAGTTATATTTTTCACAGCTTATTTATAGTTAGTTTTCTATAAAACACCCGTTGCATGAAGCTAGAAATTCCCGTCTTTTAAAGGAAATTTCTATACTTTTTCAGTATTTCTGCACCGCCCTTAATAAATCAGTACTAGATATTTTCGGATTTTACGGACCGGTAGTCACCTTGTGACGCGTCATAATTGGACGAATTTATGCCAAAAGGAACTATGTCTCACACAATCCTTATGCACATAGTTCCTTTTGGCATAAATACGTCTAATTCTCGACTCGCTTCCCGTTTCTATCATGTAAGGGAAAATATGTATCCAATTGCTACGTTGCAAAATCTCAGACCATGCTTACATTTATTGTTTTATTTAAAAAAGAAAAAGAAAAAAGAACTAACCAAAATATCGCCGCGAAATTCTCTGTTGTAAAATGATTTAGGAATATTCGCGGAAAATTTTGAGAAAAACATAGTTGGTTAGTTAAGAAAAAAAAAAAAAAAAGAAACGAGACATGAGTGAAGGTGAGCACTGGTGCAATCGGCGATAAATCGGTTTTTTTTTGACGCGTAGCCATCCATATCACTGACGGACAATAAGTTTACGGAAGGCGTTTTGAGATAACTATTCGACCACGGGTGATGTCCATAATGCGGCTAGCTGAATTGAAGGCGCGTCATTTTCCGACGATGACAAGACCACGATGTGCCCACTGGCGCGGCGCGAATATCGCCTCCAAACTAGGACCATGCGTCACAAGATTTTCAGAATACGATTTTCAAACTTTTCCAGGTTTTCCCTGACAAAAAACGACGATAATTCATTATTTTTCGCGTTTCAGCACTTCAGCAGTGCGATTTGCGAATTAGAAAAATGAAAGAACTACTTAGATATCCTTAGGAGTAAGAAGTAGTGCCCATTAAGTCAAATTCGCAATTACCATGACGTTAGAGGGTGCGGCATGAAGGAGTCGAGTGAAAATTTTGAAAGAGCAATTTTCTTCGACAGCGTAGCGAGTGCGATAGTCGGCAGATTCGGCGGTGACGAACGAAAATAGCCGCAAAATGTTCGAATTGCAAAAATTCCCTGACCTTTCCCGGTTTTCCAGACAGTGATCAGATTCTCTGATTATTTCCTACTTGTTAAAGCCCACGCCAAATAAGTTTACGCACTTCTAGACTGCAACAGAGGATCGTCTGACATCACTTTTACATATAAAGAAAATGCAAAAAGCAAGATGAGATGACGGATCTTCTGGTGCAGTCTGAAAGTGTATAAACTTATTTGGCATGGGCTCTTGTCTTGTAGACACCCTGTAAAAGTATGAGAGTAACGCTAACACATAACACCTACGGCGCGAAGCGCCTCTGGAGCTTCAATTACAGTTTAGAATTTATTACCTCAGCAGTCCTATGATAATTCTCAATAGGTACTTATGCACATTTAACACTCATTTTTTATAGAAGTTTCAATCAGTAATTCGACGGTGTAAGTCGGCAATCACATAGCTCGTTTGTGGTGTCTGAAAATCTCCGTCTCTATATTATTTTTTTAAAGGAGAGCAAACAGACATCATTCCTTGAAGTTTTTGCAGAATTTTCTTCGCACAGAGCAGAAAAATCACAGAAGTTTTAGAGAATTGCCGTTGAGTAGTTTTCCGTTTAAAAAAAAAAGTATGACAGGATGTCTGCAACATTGCAAACCCAATTATGTGATTGCCATTTATACCGTCGAATTGCTACTTGATATGTTGCAGTTAAATGCTGTAATCTAGTTAAAACTAATATAATTTTGATCAGTCAAAACCAGTAATGACGATTAACTTAAGGTCAAAGACCAGAATATGAGATGGAAAGCAAGATTTGGCACTCATCAGCTCCAATCTTAAAGCTTTTTAAGGAAAAAACTTCTGCATTTAAATTTGAAGGATATTTATACTTAATTTTAAAAAATTGCAGTTAAGTCTTTCACACTCCTAAAAAAAATACAGGACCATCAACTCTGAGAAAGACTCCAGTTTCACATACAGATTTTTCTCAATTTACCAAATGATTTCAAAGTGATTAGCGGAAACAGAAATAATGGTACGCATATTTTCTCATCATTCCACTTCTGAATGAGGCAATGATAAAGCTGATTTTGACTGGTAGGTACAAATCTTGTCTGGTCGTAACGTGTCTCTTTCTACAAGTTTGGCTTTAGATTATAAGGAGCAGTTCAAAGCAGGTTTTGAACCATTACTAATAGGTACCTAGTTTTACCCGATTGAAAAAAGTAATGACCAGTCAAAACTAGTTTAGACTAGATTACAGGTTTTAACTACAACAGACATTCTAACTTGAAATGCAGAGAGCTGCAAAGAGAGAGAAACAAAAGCTGCCTTGACAAAACTCTTTAGGACCAGTTGGGAATGAAATTACCCGATTCCAAATGACGGCGTTGTTGGACTCCGTTAGAATTACTTAGAACTGGGGAAAGAAAAGAGGAGACAAAAGTCACATCCAAAAATTGTACCATTCAACAGATATTTACATGCTAACCAATGGGCCAACTAATAATTGATGCTTCCAGACTGATGTGACTTTTGTCTCTTCTTTTCTTTCCCTATTCCTACCCGATGACTTGTATGTTTACATATGAAAGCCTAACATTTCTACCAAACACTCAACGATCTCAGGAGGTCCATGGGACTGTTCAATTCCTACTTAGCATTCCTGGCCATGGGTTTGAGGTTAAATGTTCGTAACTCCCGAAAACACACGGGATCGTATAGCGGAGGACTTAAAAAGTTGATTTTTTTACTTGAGAAAGTGAATGTATTCCGGGCGTGGAATTTTCAGTTAAATATTTCGGCTAGTTTTATCGAAAGAAACAAATTTGTTCGGCAGAATCACATTTTAAATTGTGGAAAAAAAGTATTAAATGTATGTCACTGTACTAAATGTATGGGAGGTAACCGGGAAACGTATGCAACCCGCCAAACGTAGCCCGGCGGCTTCCCTTTGTTCTTGGGAGATATTACTCACACACTCTCACACGTATTCTCCAATGGCCAGGAATGCTAAGTAGGAATTGGACTGTTGGGTTACGTATGCAAACAGAAGAACCAAACGGAATCGGACAAGTTTACTTCGACAACGCACCTAAAATATAATCATTTATCGCAGTGGACTAATTTAATGATTACTCAATCCAAAGAAAATTAGAGAATGTTTCTTACTTTTCGAGCATTTTGGTGTACGTGAAAGCCGGTAATCTACTTTGATTTTAGAATAAAGTTGGTTGCAGACAGCTGTAAGTTTGCGTCAGATGAATCTTGAGAGGAGTCACACAGAGCGGGCTAAACTTAATACAACTGATACACTTAGACCTCTTGATATTTAGAGGGGAACTAGGTGTAAATGCTAGTTTTCCACCAGAAGTTGAATTTCACACAGAGAATCATTAATGGACTGTAAACACAGTAAAACCACGAGGGGAAAAGCCCACGGTGAAAGTCACATCCACATCCACAACATAAACATAACCTTAAAACTTTCAGATGAATGTTGCGAATCGAGACAGATCACCGTTGGAGTATTATTGTTTGGAGAAAACGAATAGACGAAAAGTGATAAGGAAGGAAAGGAATCCGGAATCCCTAGTGGAAGTTTAAAAGTCTAATATGTAATATATTCTTGTGTGGTTTCCAGTGTTAATATCTCTACAACTCTTTTTCATAACTTTTTAGTGTTTTCTTCAATTGACATCAATACTACACTTGTCGTGTCTTAAGGTGATTCGTCAAGCTCAAAAGAAGTGGTCGAACTGGCATGCGATATATCGCATCTTTTAGGTCAAAAATCTCGGCAGATTTTGAATTTTCAGTAAAGAAAAGGACGATAGCCCCTGCGCATGAGCCTAAAGAATCATTCTAAACCTTAAAATCGGCAAAATTCAGAGAAATGAAAGCAGGATAGTGTTTGGAAAAAAACCTCGCATTCGATTCAGCTATCAATTTCGGTATCGAATGCGAGGTTTTTTTCCAAACACTATCCTGTTTTCATTTCTCTGAATTTTGCCGATTTTTGGGTTTAGAATGATTCTTCAGGCTCATGCGCAGGGGCTATCGTCCTTTTTTTTGCTGAAAATTCAAAATCTGCCGAGATTTTTTACCTAAAAGATGCGATATATCGCATGCCAGTTCGACCACGTCACTTGAGCTTGACGAATCACCTTAAGTAACTGTGGTGGGTGTGAATCATCTTAGGTTATGCTCCTACAATGCAAGTACGTAGGAATTGTCATCATGACTTAAACTCTGATCAACTAATGCCTGTATCTCTTCGATAACTATCACGGCTTGCTTAAGACCCTCTCAAAATGAATCGGATCTCAAAATTCTTTCTTCCCATCAAGGCAGTTCATGTACCCTCAGCAAATACCAGTGCGAAAAAAAGTGGCAGCGAACTCACCAGTAAGAGTCAAAAGGTAATTTTTATCTATCATTCACTTCTTCTTGGATGCTATCCTTGCATCTGTGTGTGAAACATGTTAACAAGGGATCGATAATTTCCCTGTAGATTCATTTCTGCAGCAGTCGCAACCAGGGGTGTCTTCGCAGGGAACCCTAAATTCCATTGTTTGTATCTGTGTTTCGTACCTGCTGTGAAAAGATGATGCCGGCTTATTGGAACCCATGGCTGGTGCCAAGCACCTTGCTTAATCAGGATTCAACAAACCTTGTCCAAATTAGTTCACCCAATGACGCCACTTCTGCTTAGTATTTTGCACAAAACGTTAACGTACCCTTTATTAATATGATTTTTAGACAAAGAAAACCATTTTCGAAACTCTGCCCTTCTCTCTGTTAGTTTCCATGATAGCAACTGGAATGAAAACCCTCTTTGTTAGTCTATCTAATTTATTTCTTATCTCCTCTTCCCTTTAGCTTCTGATAAATTTAGGTCTCATCGAACAGTCTTCAAATGGATGCTTCTTCCTCCTGCCATTTGCTCAAAGGTCAGTGGATAAAGTGATCAAGGTTATAAATGAAGAATTTGCAGATATTGGAGCTGGCAAGATTTCGATTCCCTGCCTTACTCAAAGTTCGCTGTGGAAAAAAACAGGTGAGTGTAAACAGAGAATTCCTCATTTACACTAAAAATCAATGACTCGGTAATTGAAATCTCTTTATTATTTAATTTTTTTTTTTTTTTATTGATGTGGACTTAAGGGAATGTAAGATATGTACAAGTATTAACCCTTTTATCTAATTATTAGAATGACTAATCATTAAGTATACGATACCTGTTTAGTTTATCTATTTTTAAAAAAAATTGAATTGGGGCGGATTCAACTCATAAATCCACTCACTTCCTATGAATAACTTGGGAATGATTTAGAATTCATCTCTGGAACACAGTTTTTGTACTTGTCAGTCATTCTATAAAAGAACACTGAAGTTCATTTTCTCCTTTGAATTGCAACTGGGACTTACTTAGCTCCTTATTCGTAAATTAATGTTTCATTCATCTTTTTTCGTATCTCCTAATCTTACAATGTGTACCTTTTTTCCAGGTAGATTTGATGAAAATGTAGGAGAACTATATCACGTCAGAAATAGACATGATAAGCAGTTCATAATGAGTCCGGTAAGACATTTCTATGAACTTATCATCACGTGTCTATCTGTTCAGCAATTCGTCCAGTGACCCTCAGTATTTTTATTCTGCTATTTTAAGTATTCTCAGTCCCATTCTTGATGCTACTTTAGCTCCTTTTTTTTCTTTTTTTTTTCAAAAAAATGAATCTCATCATGATAAAATGACAGCAATCGTTTTGAAAATTTTTGAATGTATGATCTGAAAGCATTTTTCGTGCAATATGGGTGAAAAATGCAATCAAATGAATATGAAACTCTAATTCAAATCCCTCCTCACATGTTGGAGGTTAAACCTCAGCACCTGTGAAGGATCATCTGGAATACGGGCTTGTGTTGATAGAGCAACTTCACCGTTCCTCTACTCCATGTAAAATTCATTGAATTTCCCACATAGTATTCAGGACAATTACTTCTTAAGATTAGAATATTTTAGAAGGCAAACATATAAAATTAGCAGCCTCTGATTGCCAAAAAACTGCATTGATGTCAAAAGCTGTAAAATCTTAGCACTGGTTAAGGCTCTTGTGCCCTTCTCCCGTATGGTTTTCATCTTGTAGTTTAACGTCTAAGTTATGTCATTCTTCAAGTTTTTTATTTTTTGCTATCAACTAGGATTTTTAGATCTCGATCATTTCAGTAGTACGCAACTAAATTCCTCTCCTTCATAATGCAAGAAAGTTAGGAAGAAAGCAATCAAAGTTTTTGACTTGGAAATAAAGAGATGGTAAGGTGTTACATCGAAAAAAAAGACCCTAGCACAGACAGTGCTGTTGCCGAAGAATCAACATCAACAACAAATGATAATTATGATTTGGAAGATCATTTACAGCATTTTTCTCACATTGCAAGAAGCCATTGATTCCATGAGATAAGTAGAACCTCCATATCTTGCATTTAGGCATGTTAAATCTAATCCAAATCTAAACCTGGGGTGCTTTTCTATAAAAAATAACAGTCCCAGCACAATATTGCATTCTGATCCTTTTTATGCCTCGTGTTCATTTTTATTAAGATTGGTCCCATCATATTTTTCTTTATTTTTTTTCTTGCAGACTCATGAGGAGTCAATAACGCACTTACTGTCGTCAATTCCACCTTTGTCTCACAAACAACTGCCTCTTCTCTTGTACCAAATTTCATCAAAATTTCGAGATGAGCTGAAACCAAGATTTGGACTCATTCGAAGCAATGAATTTCTTATGGCAGATCTATATTCGTTCGATAAGTCACCAGAAGCTGCGGAAGAAACATACAATCATGTCCGAACAACAATCAAACATATTTTCAAGAGACTTGGAATGTTTGTCACTGAAGGTAGGTATGTTTCACCTTTTCAGCTTTTTTAAGTTAGGTACCTATTCATACAAAATAGGACCAGAGCAAATTTTTTGATGGTGATGAATTTTAACATGTAACAAAAGTAACTGGCAAAGCTCATGTGAATGAACAAAGATTCTCTTTTAAAGGAAAGTTTTGTTCTCTTGCCCCCAGAAATGGTCTTCGTCAGGAATTCGGAGGAGAATTTTTCTCTGCATCTTAACGTTCATGGTGACTGCAGAAAGACCTGCCAAAGACGCTCTTGTCACCCAAAACAGGTGTTTTTTTATCTTTCATTAGTTCAAATAAATTGGCTGGAACAAAATTTTTCTCAGGTGTGTGAAAATCAGAAGAACCGTTACAGGAGTTAAACACAAATAAAAAAATTGCATACTGTAAGGGATTTTTTGAGTCAACAAGTTAAAGGCATTCATGAGCTTGTAGAAAGACCTGAATTTAAAGGAATGTCCAGGTTTTAGAAGTAAATTATGAATAAAGTATCCTCTTGTCTAACTTCTTCTCATTTAGAGATCATAGAAATTTGTAAATTCTTTTTCAGTGAAAGGTGATGCTGGCATGATGGGAGGTGATTGTTCCCATGAATTGCATGTTTTGGCTGATATCGGTGATGATTCTATTGAACATTGCTCTACGTGTGATTACGCTGCCAATAAAAGTTTGGGAGACGCTCATACTTGTAATCAGTGCAAGTCTAGTAATCTAAAAGAACATAAAGGAATAGAGGTAAAGTTCTTCTGCTTCTGTTGAGTGTTTGTGCTTATGCACGTTTCTTAGTTTTAATATTTTTCAAGCGTTAAAGAAGTGCTAAGAAAACTATGATGATCCTCTACATTTTAAGTTTTTTCCCGGATTGTTCAAGATTGTTGTGATAGTGAGGTCAGATTTTGAAATGTTTAAATTATGAAAGAAGTGCTTATTCTAAGAAATCAATAGCAATCCTCATTATTAAAGTTTCCTCTGAATTATTCAAGAATCATGTGTGGCCAGCTTTTGAAATTCTGAAGATAAGATGTGAGTTTTCAGAGTTTCCCCTCCGATATTGTTTTTGGACCCAGAAATGTCTTATCAGATCAAGTTTAATAGAAACGCACAAAGGTGCATTTAGGAAAAGAAGGAGTTTGCAGGCATTTTGAATTTAATCAATCTGAAATTTTCCCCTGTCAAAAATTCTATCAGCAATAGAGATCCTCTACAGTTAAAGTTTCTTCCGCATCATTTAAGAATCATGTACATGTGTTGTCAGACTTTGAAATTCTGAAGTTGAGATAAAGTAAAACTGCAGAAATATGTGTCTCGGTTTGCAGCTTTGCTGACTTCCTGTCATACTTTATTTTCCACATCATGAAGAATCGAATGTAATTTTTTTAAAACTTCAGGGATTTTTCTTCTCCTTGTACAGAATTTTCTGCAAACATTTCAAGCCATGATGTTGGTTCAGTTTCTTTTAAAAAAATAAAATACCAGCGGAGATTTTGAACTATGTACTTACAACTGAGGGGCTTGGAGGGCAAGGCGCATAAAAGCAGTTTTTGAAAAATTGAATTATTGATGATTTGCATTGAAAGTAGTCTTAATGCATTTTCTGTGAAAATTTCGCTCCTAAATTCTAATTTTTAAGCATCATAAAGTCAGTTTAAACATTCTTTTCACCTGGAGGATCCATGTAATTTCGAAACTTCAAATCGTATTTCTCGACATAGCAATAACTGCGCTTATCCGCCTTGTTCTTCAAGCCCCTCAACTGAGATACACATTTTTGCAGTTTCACCATCCATACAATGATACTTGATGTAAATAAAGTTGTGTGTGTGTCATAATATGTATTATATTTTTCTGTTCTTCCTATGTTCAGGTTGCCCATTCATTTTTGTTAGGTGAAAAATATTCAAAACCTTTGACTGCCTCATTCAGAAATGCAGACAACAAACTTGTTCCTTTTGTCATGGGTAGCTACGGGATTGGAGTCAGTCGTATCATAAGTGCAGCCACAGAAGCACTGTCAACTGATGATGGTTTGAGGTGGCCATTACCCCTAGCACCTTTTTCTGTTTGCATCATTCCTCCAAAGGTGAGAAATACTCTGCCATGCGGAATCATAAATTACCTACTCACACCATTGCTTAAATATCGTGGGAAGCGGGTCCCCAATTTCCGTGGATAATTTGGAGGCAAAAAAATTTTAAATTTTCCTCGCGTATTTATTATAAACAGCAACTGAAGATATCTCTGTGCTCAATGTGAAGGCAATATCCCTTGTCAAGATCGGCTGTCCACGATTTCTGTGAAATATTCATGTTAAATAACTTAAAAATAAGTTATGTGTCAAGCAATCCTATGGCTTTCTCTCTCTCCTCTTTTTTTTCTTTTTTCCTCTTTTTTTTTGAAATTTTACTATATTTAACCATAAATTTTTACCTCAAAATCAATCATGTAAAGGGGGTCACTAGCAGTCTTCAATAATACGGAAAGGAAATTGAGCAACGTGAATGGCAGTTAGGCTGATACCAGTTGAATCAATCCAATTGTCTTTTCAAGGTATCATTTAAAGCACTTTTGGGAAATTTTCTTGCGTTATCAACCACCATTTAATGAGAAATATTAAACGGTAGACCTGTGTTCTTAAAACAAACAAAAAGTCAAACGGAATCCAAGGGTGTTTCTTTCTTCTCTCAGCATGGTGAACAACGGATAGTTTTTCTCTCCCTGAATTCGTATCTGAATTTTTTGTTCTGCATTTTCAGGAGGATAAAAACAAAACAGATCCAATGAGCGCAGTTGAAAAAGTTTATGAAGCCATCAATAAAATAGAAGATTTAAGAGGAGATGTAATCTTGGATGATAGAACCAATCAGACCATTGGAAAGCGTCTTCTGGATGGAAAAAAGTTGGGATTTCCTGTTATCATTGTGTTTGGAAAATCTGCATCGGAGGATATTCCTAAATATGAACTTCACGATGTTAACAAAGACGAATGTCATTACCTAGAGCTCCCTGATCTTCTTAAATATTTGAATGAAAAATATTCATCTGAACTTACACCTAAGTCTGTATTTGTTCATCAGTTCGTCTAGTGCTCTTCTGTAAATTAAAAACTTGCATTTAAGGTTGTGTTTTTTACTTTTTTCACTGATTAAAAAAATTACCGTCGAAAATTGTTCGAATCATTTTGTTCTAGTAACTCATTACTTTAAGCAAAATAAACTGTATAAACTTAATACTTTTACACAATTCTAATTTTTGATGAGCTTTGTTTTTAAACTTTTTACATACTCCCAATATTTTTTTTGTAGTTATAATGGATTACTCAACATAATTCCTTCTGTATGATCTCCTCTATTTTCATTAAAGTTTCTCACAGCAGTCTGGGAAATTATGCTGGTAACTTGTGTAAATGTATCCCTCGAAGTCATAGAAATTTTCACAATTGATCATCATCAGTAAAATTTATTAATGCACTTCGCTACAGAACTCTGAATTGCTTCATTCTTAATGGACCAATTTTGTTCCAACTCATTGGGCACCCTCTGAAACCCGTTAAGTTTATAGTAAGTACATCTTTTAATGCGAATAGAATAGAATAGATGAGCCTGCAAAAATTTGTGATTTTGCAAAATTCTTGAACATTTAATGTACATATGAGGATAAGCAAGGTGGAGAAATGGTAGCGGGTCCACATTTGGCAGGGAAAACAAAGGCAAAGTCCGAAATGGTGTGGACCCAGCACCATTTCTCCACCTTATTGTTACATACTGTTCGGGCCACTTTTTAGCGTTTTCTATTTTTTATTTATGAGAATAAGGAAACAAAATATTTAAGAACACATTCAAGGTAAATAAAATTCTATTTCTCAAATTTTTCAAAAAATTAAAATTTAGAACTTTGAACAAAATTAATAATAAAAATGAAAATTGAATGTTAAACATGCATATCCTGGATATCACGGACTATTTTTAAAACTTTGCTAGGTAAATTGATGGTAATCGATTGGAAAAGTTGCAAACCTCGTACCTCAATTTGTGGTATTGCAGATTTCTTGCCACATTTTACTTTTTCAACAGAGCGCCAACAACATTATTCCTTGAAAGATTTACTTTTTTTTTTTTTGAAATTGTTCGCTAAAAAATAATTTGCATGGATTTGAAATAGTGCAACTTATTGGTTTTTTCTTTGCAAAAACAGAACAACAACAGAGATTTTGAAACATTGCAATCAAAGCGCTAGATTTGTGACTTTCATCATCAAAATTTAGGTGCTCTACAAGTCCGTTGAAAATTTGCATGCTATGAAATTTTATTTAAAATAGCAATTTAACAATCATTTAAATTATAAGACAAGTTGTGCACCTGAAAGTAAAAGAAAGCCATCTGCGCTTTACAAGGGAATCTCAGGGTGAAAGTTGGTCATAGTGTCTTGATTTCCCCCCTCATAATACTTTTCATGAGAAAACACTCCTAGTTTCCTGTGTTTTTTATACATTATTTAATGTAATATTTTTAAGAACTTATTCTAAAAGCTTTCATTAGAATATAAAATATATCCTATAATTTTCTTTATTTAAACATGCTTGGAGAAGCAGCAAATATAAAATTAAAAGTAATGAAAAGAATTGAATTTCTGACCATCATGCTGCCATGATATGCCACACTGTAGCTTAATGGTCAGAAATTCAATTATTTTCATTACTTTTAATTTTATTTTTATAATTTTCCTAATTGAAAAAAATATATATATAAAAAAAAACATGTGAGAGGAGGGAAAAACTGGAGCACGAAGACTGTCTTTCTTCTCCGACGGTTTTGATAGAGACTAACGTACCGTCATGAACTACTATGCAGTGCCATTTATTCCTCTGACAAATCACCTTTAACATTAAAAAAGTCTTATATGCTCTAGCAAGATACTTACTTCATCTTTTATGAAATGCACCTATGACTTTATCAAAAGAGTACCTCACCAAAGATACTCAGAGTAAAGAGTGTGTTACTGTTTGAATTACTGTAGAGTGATCAGTTTTTTGCCAGGAGCCATCTTAAATTTTTTAGGGGCCAAATTAACTTTTTACATACGCTATGCTGTTTCACTTTGGCTCTCTGTCCTGTTTTTTGGTCTCCTAATTCTTAAGCTGCGCAGCGCACAGTACGTTGAGATTGCCGCTGCTGCATCACAATCACCATTGTCAGTTAAAAAAAATTGACACAGTGCATCAATTTTTCTAAGCGCCAAAGCTCGATTTTTAAGCACATGGAACCCTCAGCAGTCAAAACACTGAGAGTAAATCTAGAATTCATCAGTCTTACCAAACCTACCTAAAATGAATAAATTACTTATAATACCTTATTAATTAGAATAAAATATGTAACAACACATTGATTCTTTGGCACAATGTTTTACAAAACTCTTAACTGTGAGTTGACTGTATAAAGCCAGTATGTACATAATACTTCAAACAACATTCTGATCATTATACATTCCTCAAAATGGAAGGCACTTAGAAAAGTTTTAGATGTGTAGGCAAAGTATAGAAAAAAGTCAATTGTATTAATAGGTAAGGACATGATATTTTTTTACTATTGCGATGGGAAATTAGGTCAGTAGGTAAGAGTGTTTTTCAGATTGGTTTATAAACATTAATCTTACAGCAGTTAACCTTCAAATTTGGAGAAAGCATTATTTTGACTACAAAACAGAAGTTACCTATACATGAAAAGTGTGAGACTCCTCAATGGAATATATTTAGAAAAGTTGCAAACAACCCTTTCCCTTCAAAATTTAAAAATGTAATTTTATCACAACAAAAATCTAAAATTACTAGTATAATTTATAGTAATATCAGACTCTTTACAAATTGAGTTAAAATTTCATGATTCATGGATTACAAAAGGTACTCTTACTTCATCATATTGATTAGAGTACAGGAATTTTCAAGAGAGTTACAAAAAATGACAAAATGTGAAAGGTTTTACAGAAAATGGACAACGTGTAAACAACAAGAAGTTCAATATTTTCACAAGCAATTTGGAATCAGGTTATAAAAATCAGTTCGAGTTAAGTTCATACAGAGATAACAACAGAAATATAATGTAAAAACTTAAAAATGGCCAAAAAAAGAGAGTGATGAATAAAATTGAGATAAATTGTGGAAGAGAGACGTTTAAAATGAGTTTTGAAATCCTGATCTCCTAAATCAACTGTAAGATCAATCAAAAATCCTTCAGTAATGAAAATTAATTACTTAGTGAAAAATTAGGACAATATAAGGGTCTTTGTCAATCAAATACCTGAAAACGTATCAATGTCATAGTATAAAGATTATTTACCTCTGGTCATGCGACAACATGATATGTGGATGTTAGGAAAGCCATTTTACAGTTTTAAATTGGATTTGGGTGGAACAATGTATGAGCAGCTCAGTCACCACCAAAGGTTGATTTGTCGGATTTTTTTTCATGAGTATTTGGGGTTGTCAGAAAAGAGAGCTTCTTTTTTAAAAAGCACAAACCAAAAAACTCTCTTGAGTCTGTAGAATTAGATAGGTGCACTCTTTAAATTTTGACTGAAATTTTCACGTCTCAACTGGAATGTATACTGCTGTAGAAGATATCCATAGCTTGCCATTGCTTAGGTCCAAGTAAGATATGTGATCGTTTGCTTTTCATGAAGTCCACTGCTTGTTGAGGATTCCAGTTATTCTTCTGAAAAAACAAATCATGAAATATTAAGTATTGATCGTAAGGAAAATCAAATGAATGCGACAAAAGCAAAATATGAGAGTTTTATTTGAAAAATAAGATGGTCTTGATGTCTGAAGGACACTCTAACGAATTGTCATTAAACGCATAGTTCCTACAGCCGCCAAAGAGCGGGAGAGAAAGAAAAAAAATTAGAATTAGGTATTAATCGATCAAGTACCTAGGTTAATGAGTTGCATATTTTTTTTAATGATACTAGAAAATCAAGCACTTTCCTGAGCCTTTTTTGTAATTTTTTTTCAGTAGGTACGTACAGTTTTTTTCGCATGTATGTGATTTCAAATTATGAGATTTTTGTTTTTGATTTTTGTGATTGGTTTTGTTGGAAGCTTCCGACACCAAATGCTTCATTATTCTTTAACAATGAGTTTTTTCTGCTGAAAACTAAGCAGTGGAGAGCTAAATATTGCACCTCCTTAAAAATCAAAAACTTTCAAAGCCTTAAAAAAACTTTGAAAAAAGCATATGTTAGGCACTTTTTAAGACCGCACGAATCATGCAATGAAAGAAAACAAACACAGTATTCTGATTTTAAAGTAAATACACCTTGAGGAATCAAAGAATATATGTTTTGCTGTGTTCAACAATGCAAATTAATGTAAGTTGAACAGTTTTGTTAAATCCTTAGAAATCAATGTATAAAAATATTCAAGAGTAAAATTGCATACCTTAATAAGATAACAACCGACTAAAGTTGCGCTTCGAGTTCGTCCTGCTTTACAATGAACATAAACGCTCCCATTCTTGGTTTCTTTGATAGAATCAATGAACTTCACACCTTTCGCCAATTTGTCTTGACAAGGGGCTGCAAATATGTCAATCGTTGGTAATTGCAAAAACTCAATTCCATTTTTCTTGTATTCCTATGACAGAACAACAAATCAGTAATCAGGATCAATCAAGTGACATGAGAAATACATAATGATCAACAGTAGGAAGCAAGAAGAAGAAAGTCGTAAACATTTCTTGGAAGGATTCTTGATAACAACTACCTAGGATTTCACCTTGTAACCAGTTCTCACGCAGGGATTTCCCAGCAAGGTGTCGAGACTCCCTGCTAATGAGGGGAGTTCCAAATTTTTTAAAAAAATTGACTTTGAAACGCAAAAAATTACATTCTTTCTCCAAAATTGCACCCTAAACAACTCAGTATTTTTGAAGCTGTACAATGCCCAAGATTCTGTCTATGTTTTACTTTTTTTCTAAAACTAATCTGATCGGGGAAAAATCTAACAAAAACCTACTATGTACACCAGTGAAATGATGTTATTTCTTAACCATTAAATTGTTGGGTAAAATTTTGATAAATTAAAAGATTCCAAGAAAATGAAAAAATTACCAATATTGCTCACCTCTGCTGTGTTGCAAAAGAGCAGCTCATAATCTTCATTCATTGATACCACTCCTTTAACATTCTCTTTGGTGATGAGCTGGACAAAAGAAAAAGAGAAATTAGAAAAATACATGCTTTGCATTGTGATGTTGTAAATTTAAAGATAAGGTAATTTTTGCGAAATCCAGGTCCTAGACAGCAAAGACATAATTATGATAAAAAAAATATCACCTAAGTACACTACCATAACTACTAAATTTTGTGTGGAAATCTTGGCTTGCTGTCTCATATCCTACCTGTGAAATTTTTATCAGTCTCATGCTTTGACAGCACTCTTACAACTCCTTCTTGTGTTCCAAAATTTCAACAGTGAATTTATTTATTCAAAAAACGTTAGTGCTTATTAGTAGTTCCTTTTTTTCGAAGAGTAGGTAAGCCTCCAAAATCAGTGCCAGTTTTCATACATTAGACAAATCGCCATTACTACTTTTTCGAGAGCAAAAATCTTAGTTACATGGGGATCTGCCAGTGCAGTCTGCAGTACCCTAGAAAACATTGCATCAAGCCAATCTATTGTTGTGGGGGGGATCGCGCACAAATGAAGAACACAATGAATATATGAATAATGAACAAATGAACATGTATATCTCTAATTTCTCAAGCTACACTCACAGGGGCCGACCGGATCATCTGGGAATCTTTTCCTCAAGACTGATCCCGCCCATGTGATCACCGAATCTTTTTATGTCAAAACGTGTGCACTTCCGCGACACTGAAGCTTCACGTTTAGACATAAACAAGCGCTAACTTCCGACGGACCTATCTCTATCGCTGGCCATGGAAATCCGTGAATTCTCACGAAAAGCCATGACGCAAAGCACGCCTCATCTATGGAGCCGAATGTGGGAAACTTAAGCCTGTAAAGACTTAAGCGTTCCCACAACACTATTTAGCTGGCTTTTCCCCTTTTTTTCCTTTTTCAAGACTAATGTGAAGACATTATATAACTTCGTAGAGAAAAAGTCAATACTGTCACAGCATGAAAATTGAAATTTCATGGATGAGACAGAGTTTGATTGAAGCAGGAAATTGAAGAGATTGAAAAATCTTGAGTAGGCATAGTTGGCAACCTACCCCAGGTTGTCGGAGCTGCCGAAAAAGAAATCAAGAAGGAAATCAGTTAATTTTTCCAGCGTACCATGAAACATCAGCAGATGTTGAGGACCATTGCTAAGCTGAGATGTGACCTTTACATTAAATTAAGGTGCAAATTCTAAAATGTTCCCAAAAACAGGGAACTTTCACTTTTTTAATGTACTTGCTTTCCTTCTGCGTTACAGATCAGTCTTTGCTACACTAAAAATGTGATTTGGCAAAGTCATTTCTCTACGGAAAAAATACAGAAACTAATACTAAGGATATACTCGTTGCTCTTCAATGTTTCAAGATGCAAACTGCCGAAGGAGATAGATTAAAATTTGAATCATTCGAGGGATATGACTCGTGTCCAAAAAATTGCTGGGATTGAATTTACAAAGTTAGTTGGCTTCAAAAAGCAATAATTTAATTCTGATGAAAAATTTTACTCACGTCTTTGGTAACACTCTTAAATGGTAGAGCACCCAGTATTACGGTCTCGTCAATTCTGTCATACCATCTTCTGGAGGACACTTTCTCCATAAAAATGTTGTACATCAAAGTTGGATAAAAACTAACACGAGAGAACATTTTGGGAGATTGCATTCAAAGCCTTGTGACAATCTATCCGTGGTCTTCCGTTGGCAAGGAATCACGCAAGCTTTGAAATTTAAATTTGTAACTACAGCTCAGAATTTCAGAAAGCTAAAATTTACAGCACAGCACACGAGTTTTTATTTACATACGAGCTGTCAAACGAGGTCACATGAAAAGAGAAACTGAGGCTGTCGGTTCACGCACAGAAAAGTGTAGCGCAAATATTTTAAGCGATTATTTTGAATTTCTCAGAAATTTCCGGTGCGATTGCATTTCCATTATAATGCACGCAAAAATCTTTCGAAATATTTTTTTAACTTCTAAAAAAATATCAAATACCTAGTTTGACGAAGAGAAATTTTGATTATCCAGTCTTCGCAATCTTATCACCAAGACCTTGACAGCCATACAGTGGTGCTGGTGTAATCTGGGCTTCTCCTTATCAGCGAAATCGCAGAATGTCAACAATGAAAAACTTTGTATGTAGTTCAGACAGAGGATGCACGGATGTATCCGTTCATTCTTTCAAGGTGCCAAACTAAACTTTGATCTCTTTTTCGTGTCGAAAATAGCACTTCATTAGCATACTCAAAAGTATTGTGTTCAACGCTGGAATCGCGGTTGTTTCCACAATTTCTGTGACTGAATCCTTGACTCGGAAATTTCGGTCAAGAGGAATCTCAAGACTGGCCACCAAATCGTATTCCTATTTTTAATGAGCTGGTTTGATTCGTGTGATTTTGGTGCAGGATGGTTTGCAGGTACGTTCGATTGTCTAGGTATTTCAATCCTCAATTATAATGTATGCTATTAAACAAACTACAAGGGTCAAGACAAGAATAATTTTATGCATCTACTCTGTAGTAAGTCGATGGCTGAACTTGATTTTCATGTATCTAAATAGAGCCAGTTTCAGATAATTTGTTCTTTTTAGTCGCATGGATAATTCGCTCTCCATACCAATTGTGGAAAAAGACATGAATTCCTAATCAGGCTCTAAACTGCAATGTTTCAAAATCCCTAATCCTATTCCATCATTTGCATTGTAAGCAAGCCATTTTTTTTACCAATAATTTATTTAAAATGTTCATCAAATAGAGAAGAAACATCTTATTCATCTAATCATTGTGTATTCATTCTGTTGATTTCAGGTGTCAGTCAGATGGTGGTTGCACACCCTTTAGACACGGTGAAAGTTCGTCTCCAAACTCTACCTCACTTGAATTTCGTTTCTGTCCTAGTCAACACAGCAAAAGTAGAAGGGGTAAACAATTTTCAGCCTTACCTAATTCTAAATTTAGACAAAGATTTGCCACCAAGGTATGGAAAGAGGAAGCAAATTGATGATTTACTTCATGACTTGATGCAAACCCATTAATTGTAAAATTTGTTTATTTTGTTCCTATTTATATTCACCCTCTTCCTCTGTGGTTGTCAACATTTTAGCCAAATTTATCAGGAATAACATCTATTTTATCAGAAATTTTCAATTGGCGAACTTCTTCAGTGAACTCTTCGCCTGTATTCCTGCATCTTCAATGATGTGTCCATATAATCCTGTGAAAAAAAACACCCTAAGAAGTGGCCCGAACTGCATGTAACAAGGCGAAGAAATGATGCTGGGTCCACACCATTTCGCAGGGAAAACAAAGCCAAGAAGTTCCAAAACTTATAATTAGAGTCAAAACTAAATTTTTTAAACTCAAATGCGTACCAGTACGAAACTGAGGGGGGAAACACTCTTCCCCCTCAGTTTCGTACTGGTATGCATTAGAGTTCAAAAAATTTAATTTTGACTCTTAATTGTAAGTTTTGGAACTTCTTGGCTTTGTTTTCCCCGCAAAGTGGTGTGGACCCAGCATCATTTCTCCACCTTGTTTTAATCCTGTGTTTCTAAAGTTCCTCCTTTATAATTTTTAAACATTCTCTCAGGATCCAAAATATTACAGAATACCTATAAATTTCTCAAAATACCTGAAATGTTGGGAATATGGCTTTTATTATGTACACCAAATTCGTGGAACTGAAAAAAATGTAAATCACAAGTAAGGAAAGCGTTCAAGTAATAAGCATCACAAAAAATTGCTAACTTTGGCTTTCCTTGTTGGACAGGACACAAAGGCAATAATTTTTTTGTTCAATTGAGTTTTTGGGCAAAAACTTTTCTTCAGGAACAGTACTTAGGTAGATGCATCTGAAACTAACTACAAACTCAATTTCGAAATTAACAAATCTAATTTAGCATCTCTATTTGATGATTGCTGAAATGGTGCTCTTTGAACATCATCATTTTAATTTTATTTTTGCCCAAGTAATTTACCAGAATTTCGATCTGAATTCAGAGCTTGTTTACTGCTGAATTTCACTCAAAGTACACCATATTATCATGAAAAGGTTTGAAAGATTTCATCCAGCTGCAAAGCTTTTGCAAATTATTTTATGGCCAACACCTATTACCGCAGCATCAGCTTGAAGAGAGCATGGAAAGATGGATTTTTAGTTGTAATTAAGTTATTATTTTTAAATTGTTCCAATATATTTATCTTGACTTTATGTTCCTAGGTTCGTGGATTTTATCGCGGATTCCTTTTCCCATCTTTAACTGCTGGTGTTCTGAACTCGGCTTTCTTTGGAGTTTACGGTAACACACTACGTATGCTAGAGACATATCGGGGTGCATCAAATCATCAAAAATTATGTTGTGATGGAGGCCCTGCCTATCCTCTGTGGCATTTGGACTGTTTCACGGCTGGATGTATTGCTGGCACTGCATGTGTAACTCTCTCTACACCAATCGAATTGATTAAAACAAAATTACAAGCAACTGCCAGTACGTAAACTTGTTGTTTTTGAAGACCTGTCAGTAGAACTATTAAAAAACTTTCAATTTTTTTAAGTCCACTTTGTAAAAATCGTGTAATAATTATATGAGTCTTATGAGTCTATTGAGAGTTTCAGCTTTATGCTGAATTTTTTAACGCACGTTGGCAAAAAACTCCAACATACTGTCGTATGAGTGCGTCTACCACAATCAGCTTGTATATGAGTGTTACTTAAATAAAAAATAATTTCAAAACTGTGTAAATGGCTGAAGTTCAAAAAAAGTATCACCTCTCAAGAACCTTTGCCACAGCATTAAAGTTCCAGATAATTTGGGAACAGCAAAATCTTTGAGAGCCCTCGACTTTGTTGAAAGACTGACTCAATTGATCTGTGGGTCTTATTGACTTGCAAGTCGCCCACTAAAATGTAAATTTTAAAAAGCGCTCCATACCTTATGCAGTCATGGATGAAATTTAATGGTTAGTGATGGATAAAGAAATCAGGAAGGCATTAAGCTTATACATTCGAATGTAAAGTGTATCATTATAATTGCCCATGCGCTCATTCAGGATTTACCATATAGGAACAACACATCAAAATTAATTGCATTTATTCTCAGATGTGCCCTAAAGAACGTATTATTGTCATTTTTTATTTCACCAGCTCAGAAATGGTTTGAGTATTTATCTTTGTTCGTTTTTTTTTTTTCACAGTATTTGCCAAGGAAGCCAATGAGCCCTTGAAACCAGTCGAATGTGTCAAGTTAATGTACAGACATAATGGACTTAAGGGTCTTTTCAAGGGTTTTCATATCATGGTTTTACGGTAAGTAAATGAAACTTTTCTTTATTAAGATTTTCCATTTTTGTCAATCCAGACACTATTATTTTGCATTGTAAAAATTAGCCCTCAATTTATGTGGCTTCTCAGAGGTTTATGAGTGTCCTTTGGTATATTAATCTCAGTATCACCAGGTACTTAAGCAAAAAATTAAGCTTAATGTGACAAGATACACTCAGCTGTGGAAGTCACACAAAGATATGTCGACTGGCTTTCAAATGGCAAGCTATTGATTTGTAATCAGTGGCCGGTTGATAAACTGTAAAATGCAAAATCTAAAATTCCTTCTAATTTAATTTGTCATCGCAATTTAAGCCCTTGAGAGAAACCAAGAAATGTTATTTTCCTCAGGAATAAGAACCTCTGTCCACGGAGACGTTTTCACTAGGTAGAGCAATTTTTGTCAAGTTAAGTAAAGGGATTTGATTTTGAAATTTCATCAGAAAACTGCTTCTATTTTCCTGAAAGACGAAATTTCAGAAAGTTCGGTTTAACTCATTAAGAGACGTAAAGTTGCGTCATAATTCGGCAGTTTTTTGCCCTGAACATGCTCGTTCAAAATTTTGAATAGCCTTTTCTTGAAACTGCAGCATTTAAACTACAAATTTCAAACCGCTGCAAATCCAGCTTAGTTTGAAATTTCCAGATGTTTTAACCCCAAAATTTTTGGAGACCACTCCTTCATGCCCCAATATTATACTCAACTTTGAGTTTTTGTGGGCTTGGGTCGCTCCTCTCGTAGACGGTTAAAAATGTTTCTTTCAGAAAAACTACTGTGGATTTTGTTTCCTAAGGGCACCTTATTACTGAGAGAAGGGATTTCTCCTGAATACCTGATGCTGTGTCCAGAAATAAATTGTTTTTTCCGTATCGTAAGGATTTCCATCCTACTCTCAGAGCATGTATTGTAACCAGATTGCATGATGTGACGTTCCCTCCCAGGAATTTTAAATATAATGTATTAACAGTTGGTCAAAATTACATGTGAACATTTAGCTCAGTGGACTTGTTAATTACAAAACCATAAAGGTCGGATACTAACCTCCAATAAACCTAATTGTGAAGAAAAAACATAAACGCTATTTCCTGTAAGCTTTTCTTAACAATTCTACAACTGGTGAGTATTGTGGCATTGGGTTGTAAAATTTAACTGGGATAGTCAGAAAAATTTATTGTTGTAGTATGGGAACACTTTTTTAAATTGTGTCAATTACAACAACAAAACGCAGTGTATATGCCTTTTTCATTTCAAAGATATGAAAAACAGATTTTTGACAAATCGATGAAAAAAAGCACACTGGATGTCTAAAGTCCAGTGTTCAGCTCTAGTGTTTCTCTACACCTTTACTATTAATTTTTATGCGGGTTTATCGTCGTCCCATCATTCTAACTCTACCACTGGTGTTTTCCCTTGTCCTAATCTTTTTAATAATTTATTTTTTTGCTCAAAATTGATGATTTCATCATCAATAGATTAACCTTATCCTCATTCATTTTTTTTTTTTTGTTTGTTGTGTTTGTTCAAAACTTCAAATTGAATTTTTAACTTAATTTTTAATGGAATGTTCAAGATAACCACCTCTTAAAAATTTCTTGATCTGAAAAACTGTATCAAACGCTCTTGACTTGAAACTTTGTTAAAAGAAAACACTTTGTTATCCCTATCAAAGTCAACCTGAGAATATTCTAAGATTATCTATTTGAAGACGTTTGACGGGAGCTCAAGTCAAGGAATTTTTAAGGAGCATCTTTTCGGATGAAAATATTATCATCATTCTAAATGTCAGTTTTTGTTAAGATTATTATGAAGGTATATTCCGAGAGGATATTTGTTAATGATTAAATTCTTTTTCTTAGTGATGTCCCGTCCTATGGCCTGAAAATTGTGATGTACGAGCATTTGCAGTGTATGATGCGGGCCGATAGGGTCCATGGTGAAGCGCCAATGTTCTCAGAAGTCGTTATAGCAAGTGGTGTTGCTGGTAATTTAACAACCATAACTCTAACTCTTCTTATTTTTAATGCTATTTTGCATCTGGTCTGTTTGAATGTTGAGGTATCACAATTAGGTATTTGTTTTACTCAGTGTCAATATTTCAGCCTTGCTTTCATTTGGTATCAATCATAAACATTTTATTTCAATTAAAGATATTATTTGTGTTTTGTAGAGCTTGAAAAATGATCGTTCTCAATGAATGCTTTTTAAAAAAAATTTACACATCGCATTTCGCTTTCAGTCACATCATTCCTGTCGTTACAATAGTTCACATTGTCAGATTGTTTCATTCATTAGAAACCCTACAAATATACTTTGAAAGCCCCCTGGATTGACATAGGTTTTTTAAAAAAATAAATTTTGCAGCAAAATAAGAGCATTTTTAGGAGCATGGCCTTGAAGTTTGAAAGTTCCTTGCAAAAAATTGCATCATTTGAAGTTTGAAAAAAAGTCTATAGGAGCTCTCTGTTTAAAAACTTACAAATTAGCACCATGGATTGAAGTACCTAGGGTGGAATGTTATACAGAGTCCTGTCCAAGGAAAATTCAATGATAGAAATTTTGTTTTTTGGAATCCGCTTGTGACATTTACTTCAAGTATATTTGCTCTAACAGAAGCATCAGTTATTTTTTGCTACCTCTCACTGTAATATCTCCTCATTTCTTAACTTGCTTAATTTTTGAGTTTCCTGGAATCTTAGTAAAAATTAAAATTTTTTTCTGAGGAGACAGTAAGTCGTTGACAGTGCATGTAAAAATGTTGGGTAACATGTAAATTTTATTGAAATCCTGTATTAAGATCATTATTTTTGGGCATTCAAACTGATCCAGCAAGAGGATCTTTCAAATTTTTTTAATTGAACATCAAAATGGAGATGCATGGTTTTGCACAAAAATATAAGAAAATCGAAACAACTTTAATAATATTGATTGCAAAAAAAAAAAATGAAAAAATACCATAACTGAATTTGTGATGAGGAAACATAAATTTTGATACCTGATTTCTAATGCTGTTCAGTGGTTCAGTCCATTAATTTAAGTATCTATCGGCAGTGAAACTACCAGACCATGAATCTCGTTTGTGGTGTTCCAAAATTTTCGCTATCATTTACATTAGCATTTTACAAGGAGAACAAATCAACACCATTCCTTGAGATTTTCACAGAATTTTCTTAGCATAGAGAGGAAAAATTACAGAAGTTTTCACGAAATGACAGGGCGTAGTTTTCCATTTACAAATAAAGTACTACAGGAAGTCTGCAACGTCACAAACCGAGAACTGATAGTTTCACCGTTGATATGCCTGAACATGGACTACTCCAGTCGAAGAGCTTTCTGTCACTCATTTGGTAAATATAACCACTGGATCCCCTAAGTTAATGATCCCTGCATTTGCTTTTCATTTTTATCACAATAATATCAGTTTTTCGAAATTTCGACAATGGTGTACTTATATTTGCGCAGAATTTTCACTATCAAACCATTTAGCTAATTTGTTACTAATTGGCCATTTTTTGGGATTTTGTGTTGTCCTCTATGATTTATGTTTCTCATAATTATCTTCTTAGTTTCACTTCATATCATATTTTCGAGATTTATTTCTTTTCGTTTTAATTTTATTTTCAGAGAAATTTATTGAAGGCTCCTTTGCTTCATTGTCAACTAATACTCACAGATTTTCTTTTTGTTTTCGAAATTTTTGTTTTCTTTTTAGTGACTCAGTAAGTTCAGGAGTTTACTTTTTGACCTATGAAGTAGTTCGTGAATCATTGTCCTCTGAAAAATCATTTTGGAATGTTGGTTTAGCTGGAGGATTTGCAGGTATTTCACTGTATATTTAAAAAAAAAAATTGTCGATCATCCTCTTTTAAGTGCAATGGCAATTTTAGGTGGATTTGGTAAGTAGTAAGTAGGCAAGATACACCCTAAAGAGGGTATCAATTAAGTATTTATTTGGTTTCAAATGAACATATGATTTCTTTGAATCATTCATCAAACGTCAAAAAATTGGAAAATGGTATAGTGTTAATTAACACTTCTCCACAGGGTAATGAACTAAGATAATAACTGCACTATAAAAGAATTCAGTGACTATCTCTGATAAGTTCTGTTTAATTGGGAGTTACGTGGCCTTGACACATGTCTCAACATAAATTGAGATTACTCTTATAACGGAGAGGATCGTACTTCTTATCTTGTTTCTAAAAATGAACATTATGTTTTTTTTTCACTGTCTTTAAGAAAATCATATTCGTTTTAATTTTTCATTTTTTCTGTTCAGGAAATTTGTCTTTTACAGAATGCATTTTTTAAAGTTCTTATTTATTGCCTGCAATGAAATCATTGGGCTTAAATAAATAGTCATAATCATGTAGGTATTTGTAAATCATAAGGTTGGCCTCGTAGTAAGACTGTAGCAGGTCTCTAACCCTCTGAGCAACCAAAGACTGACTGCTTCCCATATCTGTTTTCAGTCTGTAGAAATTCCTGAATAACCTCCAAATTTAGTGGAGGTTGCATGAAAATTTTACGATCCTAAATCTCCAAAATTCCATCTTTACTTGACTTTTGCATTTAAGAATCGTTATTGAAAGGAAAAAAATTACTCATCAATTTTACAGTGATAATTTTGAAACTATCACCAAGAAGACTGTATCAGTTTGTTGATTTACTTTTGATATTTGAGTATCTTGATTTATAGATTACCTCTATCCATGTTAGGAATTTGCAAGTAATTTACAACAGTTTTGACATTCGCAAGCCAAGAGAAAACAAATATTAGATCTTCAACGTTAATGACCCCATTTCTTTCAACAAAGAACCTTGTAAATATTTACTCCCCAAGATTATCTCATTCCCTACCGGTATGCTATTTGCAGTAAATAGTAGCTTTAAGCTGTACGTGTTGTCTAATGTTCCTTTTACAAAATTAATTTACTCCTCCTTTGAAGTGACCGAAGTATAAGGTGGAAAGCTCATAATACGATTTCATAAGATTTAAGCAGTTTTTTGAAGAAAAAATTGCTGAAACACAAAATAATCTAAAATATTTTGAAGGGTGTGCAATTGTGCATGCAGCAAGCATTTTGCATCTATGCCCTTTGGATTCTACATTTCAGACAAACCTAAGGATATGAAAGCCTGCTAGTTCGAAGTTTCGAATCAAAATTGAATGTTCCAATGTTTATCAATAAAAGTGATTGCCACCATTCTAAATTTTCGCCAAAAGGCAATTAGACCAAGACTATATTTTGCAACAAAGAATTATTATTTCTTGCTCTTTTACAAAAACACCTATCTGCATAAGGAAATGAATGACACCTACGTTATTTCTGAAATGAGCCAGAATCGGTAGCTCCCAATTGCGAAATCCAGTCCAACTAAAATGCGTGTTATTGGTCTTTGTCTATCATTTCTTATCCTCCTTCCTATGTGTTTGTCTAACAGTATTTTCATGTGATTTTCCTCGCACTGATTTGCTTGTATTTAAAATTGCCGTTGCCTGATACTTAATTTATTTTTATACTTTTGATTTTACTTATTGTTTCAATTTAGTCTCATTTGATTTAAAGTATGGATCACACTTAGCTTTACAAGTAACAAGTTAGAAAATAATGAATAAATCTCTTAATTCTATGCAATAGAAGCAATAAAGAATCCTCACTAAAAAGAAGTTCTAGTGAGGTTTCACGACCCTTGCTCCCCATTTCAGATACGTACACATTTTTCATGTGTTTACACAGATACCCGACCGCTACATTCGCATGCAGATGAAAAGGGTATTAATCTATTTATGAAAGAGTACCTACCTCAGGCAGGATTCTTCCATTCTCATTTATGCTGGGATCAGGTGCTTGCACATCTTCAGAAATTTTGCAAACCCAATTCATTGAACCAAGTTTGAGTTAGCCAAAACTACTCTGATAAAACCGCACAATTTCATAAATCAGGGTGAAAAGTCCAACCACCTAGACCTGGCCTAACTTTCAGGCAAAAGGCAAAAAGACTCTTTGGCGGGACTTCAGCAAGCATCCTCATTACATTAAGAGTTTTTTGTTAATTGATTAAAGCTATGAGGTCTAGAGAATTTGGATTTTGGAAATAGAGGTCATGAAATGTATTGTTTTAATTTTTTGCTTGGTCCATAGTGAAAGGAATCTCATGAAAACCTGAAGAATTTTCTTTAAAAACTTTTTCTAAGTTATTCAATATCTATTGAACAGAATTTTTGCATTGTTGACTCGCTAGGTATTTCTCCTTTAAAAAAGAAAAAGAGAATGCCAATCTTTTTACTTCAACTTCACATCTATTTGTGCACTGTTACTCACAATGAATGCTTTGTTTTAAAACTTTCCAGGTGTCGCATCCTGGGCTGTGATCATTCCTCTGGATGTTGTCAAGTCTCGAATTCAGGCCGATGACATAAGGAATCCAAAATATTCGGGCATAATAGATTGCTTTGTCAAAAGTTACCGAGCAGATGGGCTGAAAGTCTTTGGTCGAGGTTTTTGGATCATCACTTTCAGAGCTTTTCCCGTCAATGTTATTAGTTTTGTTGGCTATGAAGAATTCTTAAAATTCTGCAAATGGATGTCACAGAAATAAGTGCAATTTGATTGTTGATCATTGTTTTTGTTATTGTTTATTGTTACACTCTTTATTGTTTCAAAAAATGTTTGCACTTTTGTTGAGGGCAGGCCCGGATTTGCATATTTGCATCTTTCTTTTTTCTTTCATCCTTCTTAAAACTCAAAATTTGCCACCCGTAAACTTTGCCGTTGGAAGCAGCTATCCCTCCTGCTCTATAGGGAAATCCGGGCCTGTGAGGATGTCTACTTACGCTAATTATTCAGTACCTATCGCAAAACAATTTTAATGTCACTATTTTAAGTTTCTTCTCATACTATGAACAAAATTTTCTACTTATGATAGGTAATTTTATTTTGATAGAAAAAAATCATCGTCATTTTCAAATTCAAGTTTAAGGGACACTTATTAATTAGGCTGAGTGTCATCAACATGTTTTTGTGAGGGTATATAATTTTCTTCATGAAATATTTAGCTCATTACATTCCAATGAAAACCTCATTAAAAGAAAGACGGCTCTTTAATATCCCGTACCTTCTGTATGAGGAAATTTCACTATCAATGTCTGTTAATAATGTTTTTACAAAGGGGTCTTTGAAGTTTTTTCTCTGAGATGCTTTTATTTTGAAGTTTCTGGGACCCGAACGATTAGATGTGGGAATACTTCGCATGTAAAACAAATAATTTTTGGTATAAAACTAGAGAGGGAACGCAACACTCATTATCAACCCTCAAAATACACAGTTGCTAAAAAAAGAGGAAGAGAAAAGGATAACTGGACGTTACAAGCCAGCGATAAAATAGAGACCCTATGGTAGTTTCCTAGCAATTGTGGAAACTTTTACCCTAATGAATTCAGCGTTTCATTTTACAGCATTTTCCATGTTCATATTCTGATAGCAGCATTTGTTGGGGATGAATTTTCGGTTTTAGCAGTGACCCTAGCATACTTGCCAAACATATCGATGACTAAATGTAAAAAATGCGTAGCTCAATTACGACGTTTTAAAAATCACCAATCACGTTTAATTTCTTTCAGACAAATTGATCAACATCAGACAATTCTAATTTAGACCGTTGGTTAGTTTTCGTTTAAAAGAGTACAACTGAAGCGGAAACTTACATCGCAATCGGAGATACCTACGGATTTTTTTACTTTAGCCATCGATACGTCCCTTAACAGCCAGTAGGTTGTCAATGAAGGGTGGAACTCTGAATGTAGAAAACTCCACCCGTCCCCAAGAGGCTAGTAGAGGGTCTTTACTTGCTACTGCCACCGACAATGGTTTTGATCCTTAGTTTAATTTTAATTTTTGCTTTAAGTGACTTGTTTTTACAGCTAAATCAATTAAATTTTCGTGCAAAAATAATTTAAGCTACGGACAATAATTAAAAATTAGTCATTTTACTGTAATTTTGTGCCATGTACCACTAGTCCAGTGTTTTTCAAACCGCCATACATTAAGTTTGTCGCTAAGTAATGTAACAATTAATGTCTTCTTAAGTGGATCAAATCAATGTTACATTTTGCTACTACACTGATCAAATGACCTTGTGCTAACTTCATAAGTTGAGAATATTGTTGTCTTGCAATTGATACATTCCACAATATTTTAAAATCATTTTATCATATTGGAAATTTTTTGAAATAACCTCAGAGTAGAAACTCTGTGTTAGAGAATTCTGCCAATTCAAAGTTGAGAATTTTACATCAACCTGTTGGGCAGGACTTTCAAATATTTTTCCAACATCTCAATCACTCGTTCACATGATGATACTTGGATCGCATTCAGCAAAAAGGAACCAGCGTGATAACAGTGTTTTCAAAATTGTGCAAATTCTTTTTTTTCTTTTAAAAATACTAGATTCATGTACAAAATTGAAATTTACACAATTATTTCCCTTTAAAATTAACAATTTTTGGGTGAGATGCAAATACTATTTGCTATTTTGGGAGATTTTGTAGATAATTATGAAGAAGCAACATTTTAATAACACTGTAAGTACGTTGGTTCCCTTTTGCTAAATGCGATCCACTTGATGAGTATAATTTAAAATATTTCATTTCCAGTATTCTTCAAATAACTTCAATTTTAAATTATTTACATAGCATGAGTGACGATTTGCTGAACTAACATTTGTTTTTACACCAACTTAAAAGAGATCTGTTGAAAGTCTTTTGGTGTTCACTATCTTTCAAGGAAATGAAGATTATATGATATTCGGAGACTCTTGTGCCAAAGTCAAGATCTATTTAGAATAACTTAATAACTTTAATATAACTAAACTTTTTTTATCAGTCTCAAAATTATCAGTTACATTCTAGACCTTACGTTTGAGAAAAGTGTTCTGTAACTCAGGTCTTTCTGTGAACAAATTGTCAATTATTCTCTGCGCCTGACTCAGCAATAATTATTTATCATCAATCAGTATTTAATTATTTTATGCTCCATTAATGCGGCAAAAATCTGATACAGGTCAATAATCTTCTTGAATTATCAATGCAGACATGACTGTTAGCGTTTTCCACAAGCAGGCTCAAGTTAAATTAATGATACATGCGATGTCCCTGTCATTTAAGTTCTTTGTTGTCCCTTAGTTCATTTAAGTTTTTCAACTGAGTCTTTTGAAATGTTTACTTCCTCAAAGTCTCTCTGTATCACTTTAATGGTATCAAATAAAATAATCTTAAGTGCATTCTTCCTTTTTTGTTCAAGTTCAATTGTTTTCTGCCGCTGACACTATTTGAACTATGTACTTTGTTCATTGGAGAAAGTTCTCTTTACTAAATCTATCTTGAGCCACACAGAAATCACAGCTACTTAAAAGTCGCGGATCATAACTGATCAGTAGTTTTTTCACGATACGATCATGAGACGGATGTTTTCAAGATGGATAGTGGCAAACGACGGTCTGTGCAGAGGCTCTATTTGTCATCTGCGCTTGCAAACCGAAAGTAAACAAATGCAAACTTATCTGACGACATCTCTAGAGGTGACTTGATAATTTTTCCCTGACACTTTCATAATTTACTCTGACATTTCCCGATATTCCTTGACCCTTGCAACCCTGTAATAATGGACCTGCACTTGATAAATTAGATGATGCCAATCTTCTGACCATTTTTTTACGCAAACTTGAAGCGCACATAAATTCAAATCAATTTCCATGACAGTCAGCTGAAAATTTGTGATTGAAGACTATCCAGAGCAGAACATTTCCAACTAATCGATTTAAAATTATAGGTAATTTAACGATGAATTGAATTAATGAATTGACAGAAACTCGCTGAATTGATAAATCTTGTTCTTAATCTTTAGTATTTTTTGACTTAATCAGAGTGAAAAAAGAGGAATTATTTTGTACTTTGAGAGATGGGTGTTGACTGCTGTTCCTGTTTCAATTAGCTCTGTTCTCCGATTGAGCAAGAGTAAAAAAGCGATCAGAAATTTAACAACTGCAGTGGAAGTATTTATGATGCTGAATGATAGTTGGTGAGCGAAGAAACAGCAACAGCATCGGGCAGCAATTTGTGACAAATTAAAGTCAATAGGAGAAGAGATTGTTCTAATTTAATTTATTATTCTTTTTTCATAGATAACTAAAATTATAAAACTCCAGGTACTTTACAAAAGGAGGGGAGAAAAAGAGTGAATCTTCTTGATTCTTAGTTTTTATCTTATTCTGACTGTTATTTTGGTAGTGATACCCTGAATTTTTCAGACCAAATGCAGAATAAATTAAAGTTTTGACCAGGTACGATCAATTATTGCGTTTATTGATTAACATTCTTAAAATAATGTTTTAACAAAAATTATGAAGAAAAATGAGTTTGGCTAGGATGTTTACAGCTCAAATATACAGTACATACAGTATTAAAGTAAGATGGAACACTCTGGTTATTCAAAACACAACATGTGCACACTGTTCGTTTAAAAACAGTGACCCATCACATTTTCTGCAAGTCGATGAGGACTCGTTAGTTTTAAAGTGGGGTAAATACAAGAACAAAATATCAATCATGGGTTAAAAAATAAAAAGGGACACAAAATGAAGTTGTGAAAGCTGACAACATCTAGCTTAAGAAAAAATCAGTGATTCATTCTATATTTCAACAGTTACTTCCATCCAGTATTCTAGCGTTGAGCTGCCAGTCCGTTAACATTAAATTTTGGTGGAGAGAACACAAAATATCTAGTGAAATTTATCGAGCAGATGCAAGATTTCACTGAAAACATTATGCAACAGAGACCGAGTGCTATGACAAACAACATGCTGTGATGATGGTTCAATCACCGCAAGAGATGACAAAAAGAAAGGTAGGCACATTATTTTATTAGTTTATGATCAACACATGCATCCTGGCATAAAATCAAGCTTCATGGAACAATGTAAAATGATCCTAAGAGAAGGAAGAAAAGGAAACAGAAGGGATACACCTAGATAGAATTACTTCTGAAAGTTACGACCGGCAAATGTGACCAAAGTCGGGTCCTGACTTTGGGAAGAAAAATCAGGGGCAGGTGGTATTCTCCTTCGAAATCTCTTGCCGATGTGGCATTAATTTTCGAGGATTGTGGTCAGATTTTGCACGGCCATTTTAATCCTTAAAAAATTGTAAAACATCTTTACTGAGTAGCTCTAATATGGACAACCTTGAATGGGATCAGCCTGAGGTAAAGTAAACAGTCTTTCTTTCAATAAATTGGGAGACCTGCATAGTTCATAATAGTATGGCCTGCATACTTCAGACCTATATCAGCTCACACGGACTAGATCTGCGCAAAAAATCAATTCATGCAATTTGTGGAATGTTTTAGACACATGTTGCTGACTGTAAAGGCATTTGATGATAAAATTCAATTTAAAAAAAGTAGATAATAACTTATGATAGTTAATCTAAAATTTGACAGAAGAGGTCTGATGACTGATGAGTCAGAATATTTTTACACTTTGCCTGCCTTGATGCATATATTGGTACGTGAACGATTATAGAATACTTTCTTGATGTTAACTAATCTATCTTGAGAATCTTGAGAAATTAAATTTTTTTAAATTCTACAAAGGGATAATAGACAGCTTTTTTTCAACTGCACAGAGTCAACCACATAATGTGGCAATAGAATCACCACCTTTTATTCAAGACAACCTGTGACTAAAAAATTCAATCAAAAGTAACAAAGGATACACGAAGAGAAATTATAGGAGAAGGACTAAGTTAAAAGGCTGACTTGAGTACAATTAAGGGACAACGTTATCACTTTCTTCGGTAATGAATAAATCAAAATTGTTATAGAAAACTGGCCTGGAGCAACATGAGAAGCCACCAACAGACACTGAATGTAGTTTAGTTGTGTCAAAAGCACCCTACGAAAAGTTTATGATTTGACAGACAGGTTTAGCACTGAGGCTCACATTCAGTTAATAAAAAGTAGCGAGAGATCATGTGAAATCTTTTTCAGTCTTTGGTCCAGAACGGAGCCTTTTCTTCAAGAACGAAGGATGGCAACTTCTACGCTTCAAACCTGTAGTGTTTTTTCTACTTCAGCAGAGAGTGATTCCATGTTTTTCCTTACCTACTTCATTTTATAACAGACAGAAATAAAATACTTTAAGTGACCAGTCTATCTACTTTTTCCTTCATAATTTTATGAAAAGTTAGAGAATGCTTCATGCACCGACAAAGATCTGTGGGTGGCTACTTGCGAGGCTCGACCAGGGTTGTTCGAATGACAAAAGATAACGTATGAGCTAATCACACACAGGTACTGGATTATGGTTAAGATCCAGAGCGATGAGAAAGCTTTAAATGAAAATCCAACGGTGCGAGTACCCAGTGAAATTATGATTCCTGGGCAAAATTGACCAACTCAAAATTTTCATCAATCAATTTAGGACGCAAGGATAAAAATCTAGAGCTTTCTTAATTACAATTATGCAAGATTAGTGGCTCCCGAATTTCCTCCCCAGTAGTAATGCAAGATATGAGAACCCGAGGTTTGAAAAGAATAAATAGTACCTCTGCTTAAATTAAAAAATCCTTAAGGAACAATCTGACAATCGAGATTTTGTTGTTGTTGTTGTTGTTGTTCCTCTCCTTCATTTCTTCAATTTGACGATGAACTGTCAATCAGAGATGGTACTTCATATCCTCATTAGCACGGATCATTGCGCGGAGGTCAGTAATTCAGGAGTGCTAATGTGGTTCAAGTTACCACGATGAGCTCACACTAGGATTTGTGCAATTTTTTGGGACTATCCGCCTGATAAAAACTGGAAAACCGGTTGAAGCGATATTTTCATAGCTGCATTATTTAAGATTTTCACCTCTTTAGGATTATTCCACTGTACGCGTTTTCAAGGGAATAATTTTCAATTGTACAATAAAAATGAATTTTTTTTACAGATAACACTAATGCGCATTCACTTACTACTGCTATCTGAACTTGATGGCTCAGGTAGTAGGAAACGGATGGCTTAAAGGAATAACAATTCAAAACAGATATTTTGAATACTCTGTTGAGAACAGATTCGCCCACTGCATAAAGCAAAATTTATCCAATTTTTGGCAATAAAAAAGATGATTCTCACTCATCTTTGGATAAAAGGTTCTAGTTCCTATTGAGACATGGGACTAAGAAAAGTAATTGAAGTGGATCACCATCTACTGAGGGAGTTTTGGGAGCCACTGCAATTGATGGTTATTTCGGTTCAAGTTTTCACTCTTGATCCCGACGGTTTCTTTACACTTTAGTTTAGATTTTTTCGGTAAATCAATACACAACAGTCTTCTCGGAAAGACGAGGTCATAGAAACGAGTAAAAATGAATTAAAAAAGATTTATGTTACGGATAAGTTCTTGGCATTTTAGCATGCGCAGCATCACTTTTTACTATTTGCTTCTTTAAGTTTGTTACTAATTTCCAATTCTTGCAATTTCTTCCACATTTCTTCTCGTTCCTTCTCCTTCTTCTTCTCTCTGCAAAATAAAAAAAAAGAGGAAAGATTAAAATTGGATTGATAATACTACCGGATAATTCTGTAAATTTATGAGAAAGTGCAAGGGGATTTAATTTTGATACAGTAAAATACCATCGGCAGCATGGTTCACACGGTTTTTTTCCTACTATAATCCCCTGTTATGGACTGGCCAACAAAAATGTAAGGACTTTGAAGCTGCCTTGAGCTTCAGCACCACAATTTGTCAACAAAAAGAGAAAGAAGGGAAATGTCTCTTCACCTCTGATTTGGAACTTCAATCATCTACTCCTGTGTTTACCCGTGAGGAACTTAGCTCCATTCCAAGGTTGCAAAATTGACACAACTGATTTAATTTCTTGCAAGAATACGGCTAAAAAATTCTTGTATGGAATTATGTTAATTTTCATGTAAGATTAGAGGAAATTTCGGCGAAAGATTCAATTGCAAACGCCCACAAACGTAAAAAGAGTAAAAATACGATTTGCATGTGGAAATTTAAAGACACTGTAATGTAGTAACGTTCTTTCCATTGGAAGACGACAAAATGACACAAAATTAGGGCTTTGCGAATGTGGTTTTTTTGATGTCAATTGAATCGAATCGAATCGAATATTTTTAATTTTTATCTATTTTTGACCAAAACCAACCTCTGTGTTAGTCGAAGTAAAAATTGAATAACTAATTTATTTTCTTTCTAAAATTCAAATTTTGAATAAAGAAATTGCTATTATAGATAAGAAGATCAAGAATTAATTAATTTATTTAATCATCAAATGGTTTTGCATACATTTTGATTTGCTGGGGAAAGAATAGAAGGGAAAGAAAATTATTTCCTTTAATTAAGAACAAGCAATTGATTGAACTGTCGCGGAACAGTAAAACTGCTGCTTACTGTCCGAAAATCCATTTTATTCTGTTGTACTGCACATCAATGCTGATCTTACAAAGACAGTCCAGCAAGATTGTAAAGACCAGGGTGCTGTGCGAGGCGGAGGAGGATAGGTTATGGAGATCAGTACATTCACCCATTTGTACACCATGCTGATGACGTATTCGGTGGAACTCAAGTGGCGCGAATTTTGAATTGACCCATCCAATAATGCGAGTCCGCCAGTGCCAGGCGCTGAATGAACCAATGAAACGTTGGCCTTTGTTTACCTAACCTCAAAACAAGTAGTTTGAACTGCGCACCAGTTCGAGTTCTTTCTAGTACGGCATCAATATGGCCGAATATGTCCGAATGTACGAGTATTCGGTCTTTTTCTTTAGATATTCGAAGTTTTGTCAATGTTCTCGAATAATTCGATTATTTGAGATTTCTAAGTTCGAGTTTGAATCGAATATAGGAAAAATTATTCGAACTCGAATATTCGAGATTTTCGAATATTCGCACAGCCCTACACAAAATAAAAAGCATTACTTACTTCTGCCTTTCGGTTTTATAAGATGCAGTTAGATCATCGAATAACTTGCTATTCATTTCCATAAACGTTTTTAGAACATTATAAACAAGGGCTACGATTGTTTGGTTCCAATGCTCTTTACTTATCCGATACAGAGCAGGAAACATAATGGGCATAATAACTTGATTATTTTCTTCTATCAGACTCATAATGTATTCGTTATTCCAGAAGTACAGAGCCCGCTCTGCAACCTGAAACCAACAAACATTCCTCCGATTAATTGAGTATCAAATTAGTAAAGATTAAAATAAAAAATTATCAAATGAACAGACTTCTATCTTTATTTCTTGCAGCTAAATCTAAATTCTATAAAGAATGTGCTCAAAAACCGTACGTCAATAGTGTCCGGAATTCTAGAATTTTTCATTTTTTGACATTTACTTAATTTGTCCGGATTTCCACAGAAGTTGAATATTTCCAGTTTGAAACACTGATTCCCTGAGAAATTCCTTGATTACTCGGGATATTTATAATTTTCTGATGAGCCCTAGTTTTTAAAAAAAATAAAAATAAGAAATCCAACCATCCTTGCTTACAGTTTGTTGTGCTCATTTGTGAAAAATAAAAGTAAAATCAGCAATTACAGTAACAAGAAGTGCAAAGGATTATGTATGAGCACCAGCTCAATATTTTAAATACTTTTCTTGAATAAACTATCTTACTTTGAGATATATTTATTCTCTTGCTCAACTTAAAAGATGTGCTTATGAAAAAGACTGAAAAAAACTGGGCTTATGAAAAAAACTGGGTTTGTACCTGGAAATGCGGACTTGACACACATTTAGCTAATTGCCTAAATAGAGGTTCTTGAATTTTAGTGAACTGCGCAGGTTCAATGACATCTAAAATTTCTTCTACTTCTCCCAGGAACATGACCTACGAACGAACAAATCAAAACATTACACAACGGAACATACACGTATCATTGACTGTCGGCATACTTCCAGATATGGATCTTTCAGCTAAATAGCATTCAGCTTGAGGCAAAATTTGTTTCAAGATAATTCGTTTTTTCATTTCCAGACTTAAAGAGAATAAAATTTCCTTTTTTTCTTTCATTTTGACAGAGCACTTCTAAACCATTTGTTTAACATTTATAGTGATAAGAGCACTCTAAATTTCTCTGTTGGCTATCATTTCTCATAAAGGCACATACTAATCTTTTCAACATTAAAATAACGTGAAACAGATATTCAAGAGCGCACCTTTTTTGAAGTCATAATGACTCTTTGATGTATTCAGTTAAGTTTGAATTATGAACTACACTTTGAGTAGAATTTCTAAAAAAAGGGCAAAAGAGGTTTTTTGGACTAATCTTGATATGCTGTAGGACATTTGTTCAGGTCAGGTCGGTTAAATGAAAGAACATGAAAATTATAAATAAAAATATATAATATGAAACAAAACCATTGGTCTTATTGGACGTTGAGTTTCTGGCATTAAGATAAGGCACTGTGGCTCGCCACTGTCTGTGGAGTCTTGACGACGCTGACAGAAGCGCTTCAGAAACGTTAATTTGAACGCTTTTCATGATGCTGTATCTTCTGTTTTAGCAAACCTAGCAAATGTATACACCATTTTCTTCCAAAAAATCAAAACAATAACTAAATGCAAGATTTTTTCTTATGCGCAGTCACTATTGGGAAAAGAAAAGGCCTTTCTGGGCAATTTTTCAAAATGGCGGAGAATAGGCAAATTCGCACGCAATATAGATGTAAGACAACTTCTGATTGTATCCAGCGACTCAAAAAACAGAAGGTAAGTAAAAAAAAAAATGGCTATATATCCGACATTCCAGCTGACCTCATTTGTAGCTGTCAGGTGCCTGGACTATAAGCACTCCTCTAAGCTCTGATTTCATAGACTCAATTTTGAGTGAACTACACTCTGCAATTAGGGGCTACTATTTCCAGCTCATTTTAGAGACAACATAAATGCCATTGGTTTTCCTATGAAGGTGCGTGCTTTAATAGATGATCCAGTAAAAATATTTCCTGCTTGCTAGATTAAGTCCAACGAGTATCCCATCTCCTGTAGACCGTCACATTTAGATAGCTGTAAGATGACTCACATTTAGATAGCTGTAAGATGACTCTACCTATAGGAAGGCTAACTTCTGCAAATAAATTGATCTCGGCTACTTGAACTCAATGAGGTTCTTGCATGCCTTAGGGCTTTGTGATTTAAGTACGTTCATAGTAGTAAAATTTTGCAAAAAACTTGATGGTACCACTCATTTTCTCTGAAACAAACTCCCAAGCTAAAAAAAAAGCTCTCCAAATTGAAACGATAATGGAGGGGATCACCTATGCTGCACTGAGAGTCCACATCGATATTTAGTCAAACTCTCCATGCGAAGGTAGGGGAAAAATAGATCAGCACAGTTTCACTGGTTCCAGCCTTAAAGTCCCCAAACAAAGTAGGAACTAGTGTTGGGTCAAATCCTAAATTTACCCGAATCCAAATCCCAAATTTGAACTTTTGAATCCTCAAATCCAAATCCATCGCAAATCCTTCACTTGTCAGAAACTCAGTACTTTTTCTTATTTATGTTTTTTTAAATTTTATTTTTTCTTTTAGCGATACCCAGGAGAAACAAATACTGGTTGCAATATCTCGACGAAGCGAGTATTTATGCTGATATTTGGACCGCGTTTAACAGAAAGGAACCAAGCCACATCGGCTATTGCCAAATTTAAGTAGGCAATTTAATTTTTTACGAGAGAACGTTTGTGCGGATTCCTTTGAAAATTTTGAGGAATTTGCTTCTCACTATCTAGATAATTCACTGAAATTCGCACAAAAATCCACACAACCGCTTTCATGTACAAAATTAAATTGCCCAGTTAAACTTGGCAACAGCTGATGTGGCTTGGTTCCTTTCTGTTTAACGCGATCCATTTAATGTTTGAGAACATTCTGAAATGAGTCAAAATTTGAGATCGATGAGATCGAGAGACGATATTGATATTCAACGCGATTCGAGAACCTTCAGGAATCTTCAGGATTCGGCTTCATGGCACGAATTTTGAAATTTCGGAGGATTTGCGGTTTCGGGTTCTAGCATATTGACACCGAATCCCAAATCCGAATGCTCTTGAGAGGATTTGGTGGAATCCACCGCCCAACACTAGTAGAAACCCTGCTGATGTATTTGCTCTCTATCTGTGAATGGAGAGTTTGACTGGATACAATGGTGAACTCTTACTGTAGCCTGGGGAATCCCCTGCACTACAGACTCAACTTTAAGAGCTTTTCATGTGCTTGGGAAATTGTTTGAGAGAAACCAGTGACATCATCATCTATCTAGCAAACTTTGACAGAAGAAAAGGACTTAATTTGCAAATTCCTGAAGCATGCGAAAGCTTCATTGCATTGATGGTCATCTCCATCAAAATTTAGAATATCTTTTGCTACATATTATAAGATACACGCACAAGACCAATAACTCACCTCTTTCTGACTGCATGTTTTGGGCCAGTATTTTAATAGTCCTCTGACAACAGGCTCAGTTAAGGTCGGATCCTTCTCCAAAAACTGGACCACACAGTAAGCTAGTTGGGCATGGTATAACGACAGACACTTAACTTTATGCAGAGGAATTAGCACCTTGACCAAGAACTGCTTGTGCTCTACTTTGAGTGGTAGAGCAAACCCATTAATGATACTGAAAAATAAAAAAATACAAATTTCAAAATTGGTAAACACAGAAAAGTAGCAGAAGGTATTGTTAACACGCTGCCTGCCACAGCATTTTTGTGAGCCATAAGCACACAGCTGTGACAACCATTGGCCTCACAAAAGCCTTCAACTGAAGTGACCACATCCCTGTCAAAATGAACAGTGTGGCATTCACGGAACCTCTCAATGCAGGTGGCTACAATATGGAAGGTACCATTATAAATGCATTCATAGTATAGTATGTATACAAAATAAAATATAGTTATTAGTAACGATATGAAGCGAGGCATCAATTTAAAAGTAGACCATAAAACTATTGTCAACTTTCATGAAGTGAGACCACACACAGATAAACCACTTGCTAAAACACTGAGCCACATCCTTCGATCCTATCACTATGCCCAGGTTCTGTCTGAAGAGTGCTTTTCTGGGCAACTTAAGTAACAAAAGTTACGATACAAAGAAATGGCGCCGTCCCTGAGTCAACGATGCATATCCTCAACCAACATGGAACAAAGAGAGAAGAGCTCACTTCTTAATAACTTACATTTTTCCACTGAATAGTTTGTGGAAAACCCCCAAAAAATGCATTTTGCAGACCCGATTGACTCAAGATGAGCACATAGAGTTCAATTTTAGAACATTTTCCTAAGAACATCTTATAAAAAAAAAAAAAAAGGTGGAAATAAATGGCATTGATCCTCTTGTTTTTTAATCTTTTTGTAAAGCAAAAACTACGCTGGTGCCAGATTTGTTTGTATTCCATGCGTCTTTTGAGATTACGAGTAAGAAAAAGAAGCGATTATGTCTGAGAGAGAAATCCTGCTCGAACCCCTTAGTCACGATGCCCACTTTTTAACATGAGATGGCTGTATTCCTCACTATATTTTTAGATAATATTATAGAGTAACGGATGAATAATCTTACCTGCCCAGAATTTCAAGTAATTCTCCTACGCCATTAAAATGTTCCGTTTCATATACAAACCTGTAAAACGAAGATGAAACATAAATTCAATTTCATTCAAAGACTGCGAGGAAAACACTATGGAGGTAAATTGCTTAAATTTGTTTGAAATTTTATGAATTAAAAAGGCCGTTGCACTGTTTTTAAAATTCCTTTTCAGAGAAAGCGTTAAAAATTAGAATGCTTACATTTTACCATTTTTCAATTAATCAAATTTTACCTGAGGTAAAGACTTCCGAAGTCATCAAAAACCTGACCCCACTCCAACTGGAAAAATATTTTGCAGGCAGATTTTGTGATGTCACACAAAGAATGGGCCAGTTGGCTGGTAACAGAATCGTGTTGTGATGCTTGATTCTTGAAGATTAGCTAAACATAAGAAGATCTGCCGGAATAGAAACTTTTTACGATGAATATTAACCCAGATATCGTCCTTTGAAAATTCGGGTTTTTGATGATACCCACCACGGTAGTGCATAGCATGGTATGTACTACCACGGTGGATGACATCATAAATCGAGTTTTTCAAGGCCCGATATTTCCGTTAATATTCCACATAGAAAATTGCTGTTTGGACAGATCTTATTATTTTTAGTTGATCTGCAAGAATAAAGCATCATAACACAATTCTGTGACCAGCGCAACTGATCCATTGACTACTGCGCAGTGTACACCCTCCCTCTCACCCTGCGCTCATTTATTTACTTTCAGGCGATTGTAACAAGAGATTATGTGTCTCAACCATTTTCTCTGTATTATTTTTGTTTAAAAGAGTGTTTTTAACGGTTCTTTTGGCTAGACAGAATCCTCTGGAATCAACAAATTTCGAAAGAAAATAAAAAAAGACTCCAAAACGGTGAGGTAAAAAGTATCTTGAAATAAAGATAAAAAGTTTGACAGCAATAGAAACGAAGATAAGATATGCTGATGGCAACAGAGATGGATTTGGGAAGGAGGTCGAAAGAGAAGTCAAGAAGGGATCAGATCCGTAATGATAGAGAAAATCAGATCACAGAAGTTGAAAATGACATATTTGACATCATGGCTAGACAGATAGGATGATATAGTATGGTTGTACTGACAGGACAATGGCAGTAGGGCTGCCAAAAAGATGCTTGATTGGATTTTTCCTGTGAGGGATGGAGTAGACACCCAATGAGAGGATGGCAACGAAGGATTGAAAGAAGAAATGCACAATTGTCATCTCTAGGAGTGGCTTAGGAAGAATAACGCACTGCAAAAGGTTTGACATCACAGAACAGGAATGGTTGGTTGGTAGATACATTTATTCAAAGGCGCCTTGAGAAAATAAAGTCATTAACACCAAATGCTGCAAAATCAGGAAATATAAATGTGTGTAGGTACTTTTTACGCTTGATTAGTGGATAATATTAAATTGGTACTGAAAAACTTACCTGAGGAAAATATTGTTTATTTGTTTACGAATAAATGCCCGAAGTCCAAGAAACTTTCCATAAATGCGGTGCAGAACCGTTTTTAAGAAATCTCTTTCCCTGGGATCTTCACTATCAAACAAATCTAATAACTGTAACAGGGATAAGCATTTATGAAACGTTATTATAATTTTAAGGACAATATAGGCAATACAAAATTGAAAACATAGGTTGACAATGAAGAGTTTATGAACAGTAAAATAGCAAAAGAGTTTATTTTGGAAAAACTATTCTGTTAGTGAGCATCATCTTAAAGAAATAACTTCAGAAGTTAGATTTGAGCAATAGAAAACTAATTTTCGGTATTATGAGATGTCAGTCCACTGATTAAATAGATTCTTGAGAATACTTTATTGGGTACTTCAGTATGAGTTAAAAAAGTAGCAGATCTAGTCTTGACACCATAAAGAACTTATTTCCTACTATGTGTTGTCAAAGGCAAGATTCGTGAAAAAATTACGAAATTAAGTTGAGCCATTTTTTTCCCCGATTCATTTTCTTTGAATACTATGCTGTGATTAATATTAAGTAACTCCTTGATTTATTTTAACACTTGAATTTATCAGACACTACACAGATTTGTAAACATGTAAGAATTAAAAAGAAAAGGTAAAAAATGAGCGATTCTCATCAGGAAACAGACAAAGAGACTCCTTACCTGCAAAACAAATTTTTGGTCTATGACTTTTTTCCCAATCGTTGGCTGAAAGTCTATGGATTCAAGAAACCTTAGAAACAATTCGTATACCAACTGAAATGAGAGAAGAAAGACAAACATTATTGTATTAAAAGATATTATGAAAGAGGGGGGAGAGGGCTGATGGGGAAAAAGGAAAGTTGTGCATTAATGATCTTTTCAATTTTATTTTATTTAATCTAATATTGAGTGGAACAGAAAAGAAAGTTAATGGCAACTAAAATTTTAAACTATGCTTGTAATAAATTTGTAATAAATTCGACCATTGACTAGCTGGGATCATTATCCACGCATAAAATTCCTAAATTTCTCATATTTAGCTCAGCATGGCTACTCAATTCGTTACTATCTATTTTGCAATAAAACTTTATAGTCAAAGGATGACAGTGCTTTCTTGCTGCAGTTTTACACTCACCGTTAAATGTGGCCAAGCTGCCTCTAAAGTTGGGTCATCCTCTTCTGGATCAAAATCTGGGTTTTCACTAGGTGGGAGCGTTCGAAACAGGTTTGCTGAGATCTGGAAAGAAAGAGGCGAAAAGTAAATAGAGAGCTAGCAGTAATCCTTTGATCTCAAGGATAAATCTTACTTCACACAAAATAACGATTTTATTGAAATTGCCCAACTAATAGCGTGCTAAAATCATATGGATGTGGAGAGAAAGTTTTTCATAGTTTCTCATAGAACATGGTTTCTTGACTGATTTTCTTAGCTCGCCCAGAGGGACCCCCTTCCCAGTTTTCCTGATACTCCACGTGGAGTTTGACAAACTCCAGAAAAAAAAGAAAAGAAAAGGGGGCAGTGTTCGAAACTCACAGGCGCCAAAGCGCCAACTGCGCCTAAGAAAGCGGTCATGGCGCCTAAAAAATGAAGGCTTTGCGCCATCGTGGCCCGTAAAAATTGCCCCCCCCCCCTCTCAAAAGAAAATAATAGATTTTCTGTTTGGTGATTTTTCAAAATTTCCCCCAAGTAACAGCTACTGGTTTTGTGACTAAAACATCTTGCATCTAACTTGCCACTAAATGCCCCGTGATACATAAGCAAAAAGTCAATTCGGCCCCTAAAAAATCTTCAATGGCCTAACCCTAAAAATCGAGCTTGATGCGCCACATAGCTCCTGAAACTCCAAGGTGAGTTTCGAACACTGGAAGGGGGCCAACCTGATTTTCTTCCTATATAGAAGACTTAACTTTTCTTAGCATTCCTACAAAACTGCTCCAAGCCTGTGCAGCCCATTCAGTTTAGTCAAGGTTCGACTCGGTAAGTTTATTCTTCGACGACGTTCTGCTCTCCCTCAAGATGGCAGAATAGCAGTATTGGCCCATTCCTGATTGCTATCAGACTCTCCACGATTCAGTGATATTTGCTGACTTTTCTAGGTTTTCTCTATCTTCCGAAGAATCAGCCGACAATCTCTCTCTCTAGGCAAGGGTAGTATGCGCCCAGGTAGTTGACATGAGCAAGTCGGGCAGAAAATTTTGAAATTTTTGGGTCGTGTGATGACGCGACCAAGGCTGCGCGATGCAGTAGCGCAGTCTTAATCGCCGCGCAAAGAGCAGCTCTTCACTTGGCAGGCCGAAAATCCGCTAGTTCACCGACTAATAAATCGCCGCGCTGAGATGTCGCGGAAGACTTGAGCCACGGTTCCATAGACAACGTGCGATGCGAAGTTTGCCGCGCGATCGGCAACGAAGATTTTCAGCCTGCTTATTGTCAATGCATTTTTTTTATTTTAAAAAAAATAATAATAATAATAATAAGTCGACTAGTCAGCCGACGACCACTAAAGCAGGGAAACTCAGGCAACGCATGGCTTGGACTCTAAGCATGAATCAACACGTCATGCGTTGTTATTACCTCGCGTCTAAAATGGAAACGATTCCTGGATACCGGGCGGAAATGCGGAAACTTTTTCTTGATANATGTCGCAGGCAAATAGTGAAATCAGGCATTTTGTCAAATGCCTAGGCAGATAGTCAAATTTTGACGGTCTACAAAATTTTGTGTATTTATGGCGAAGAGTTCACGATTTTTCACTATTTTTGGAAAAATAACTCATCAAACCTACGAACTCTTATTGTCTTTTCCTCTTCAATTGCCTCTCTTATTTTTAAATGTTGAAATTCCAAAAATTCTGTATTTTACGACATGCTGAAAATTTCAAGATCAGTGACTCTTCAGGAGCTAAAAATTGTTTAAAATACTAGTGTATGTGTGCAAATTTTTATTGAAAATTTTTTCTTGCAGGAGCAAAGAATTATTTTGTCTAAATTAGGAAAAGAATTAGAATTTCGCTCTAAGTTAGAATATTTGACTATTTGCCTAGGCATTTGACAAAATGCCTGATTTTACTATTTGCCTGCGACATATACATCGGAAGTACGTAAGAAGAATGAATAGGGTGTCTACTGAAATAGTATTTCGGATTTTTCGTCTAAAAATTCTATACATTTTGCAAAAAGGAACTACTCTTTCTAGATTACCCAGAAGACGTATCTGCATTGGGAGACTAATTGGTAAAGGGTGTCTACTAAAATTTCATCTTGGATTTTCCTGCTACCATTTTTTTTTTAGATAAAACTTCCCGCTTTTTAGAACGAATGAAGTGGCATTCGTTTGATTTCACAAACCAACAAAACGGTTAAATTGAATCAAATATCCCACTTGAGCATGTGCTGAACTGCGTGCGGTTGAGTAACGCTGCCATGTTAAGGAAGAACGCCGTATGAACATTCGATAGTTGCCAAATTTCCTTCAGTAAAATGTTCATTTCCGAGGATAATTATGAACATTTTTCCTTGAAATTTTCAGAAGTTTTCGATCCAAGTGCTAACAAAATTATCTGAGAAATTGGTGGGTAGACAAACATTCAAAAATTTTCCTGAAAATGAGTGATTTGATGGGGGAAATTTGGCAACGCCTGAAGGTTCATGCGACGTTTTTCCTTAGAACGACAGATCACTTGAGGCACTTGGAGTTTCCTGATCCAAGACTGTTTTTCCGGAGACTTTCTCGATAAAATAGAAAATCCTGATATTTTTCGGCTTCTCAAGTATTTACTGACAGCAGACATCCTGTTGCACGTATGCTACTCCTAAATTAAATTGAGCCAGAATGGAGATGTTGCATGTGTGAGGGATTTGCGATTTGAATGTTGATTCTAATGCAAAAGTTCGCGAGAAACACGATGGTGCCACTGGTTTTCTCTGAAATCATCTCCCAAGCTCAAAAAAGCTCTCAAGTTGAGGCCAAAATGGAGGGGATATCCCACCCTACCCTGAGAGTCCACCTCTACATCAAGACAAACTCTCCATGCAAAGATAGGGAGCAAATACATTAGCAGTGATGCCGTGTTTTCAATTCTTAAGTCCCCAAATAAAGTGGCAACCCTGCCAATGTATTTGCTCCCTATCTTTGCATGGAGAGTTTGTCTTGATGTAGAGGTGGACTCTCAGGGTAGGGTGGGATATCCCCTCCATTTTGGCCTCACTTTGAGAGCTTTTTCTGTGCTTGGGAGATGTTTTCAGAGAAAACCAGCAGTACCATCGTGTTTCTCACGACCTTTAACATAAGAATCAATGCACACATGCAACATCTCCATTAGTGATCTCTAATTGCAAAGTGTCCAAGTTATGAGATCCTGCGTCGCGGACGACCCCGCGTCGCGCGCCGTCCGTGGAGCCGCGGCTTGATCCCGCGAAGAAATACCGAGAGCATTTGCTCCGGGAGAATATCCTGATTTACGCACAAGTTATTGATGGATGTCGTTGTCGATTAGCATTGCATCACGGTTAGTCTGCTCCGACTTGATTGGCCCCGATCTTTCGAGTTCGGACGAAACCCGGGCCCTCGCCCTCGCTTGCGACACCTGTTATTTAAATCTACGGCCCACTTCATCATCTTGCATCCGACTCGAACGGCTCCCGGCCCGGCCGACGACGCGAAAAGTTCAAGTGCATAATCGCTTTCTGACGAGGGAGAAAAGTTTTGTGTCCCCGCCACTGCTAGGATCAAAGAGCCTTCCCGAAAGAACCCCCTCTCTAAAATAAGGACCCAGGAATTGCATCAACACGTGGTTGGAGTGAACCATGGTAATGAGGAAAACCCCTTATAGGATTTTCAGCTTGAGTTCACACTTAGTGCATCTGTACATGGTTTACACGCATGGCGTACTACAGGGGTATCATTGCCGGCAAATCCGGGGAAAGAAGGCGAAAGTTGTTTGGAGGGAGTACAATTTCCGTGTTACAAGGGAGGGGGAGGGGGTGGGAAAACAAAAAAAAAAGTAATACATTAAAAAATGCACTAAAATTGATCAAATCATACGAAAAGGTCAACTTTATAATGTCAGGGGTTATTTTCTCTTGCTCTTCCCAAATAATTAACGGCCCCCATGTTAGCATAAGTAGAATGAAAATTCAAAATCTAGTAAGCACCACCGCGTGTTACTGCGAAATAAAGCAGCTGTTTCTAAAGTTTGAAGGGAATCTAGTGGCTCTAAAGTGACGAATTCATCATGAGTGTAATACAATTGATAGAAAATGTCCACCAATGAGAAAGTTTCCACTTTTCAATCGAGAAAATTGAAAATTTCATAAGGCATAGGCATAGGCACCCCTACAGACCATGATACACTAGTAGCAACAAACTGTTGGCGCTGGCCAGGTTAGGAGTCCTAATATATTCATTTATAAATGCGATGAAACATCGCTGTTAAGCACAATACTGTGAACAAATTGTGTGGAAAAAGGGAATGAAAAGTTTTATGAAACGGACCAATCAGTCGTTAGTTTAAGTTCCTTCACACATAAAAAACCGCCTTTCTTCAGCCCAAAAATGCGTGAAAATCCGTCTTACATTCCGAGGAACCAACACCCACGATTCTTCCCGCCGAAGTTTTCAAGTTTTCCGTAAAATGTCTCGGGAGTTTCCAAAGTTTTCGACGGATCCGCGACAACCCCCCCCCCCCCCCCTTT